TTGCCGCCGCCGCCATCGCGGGTATTAGTTTCAGTTCGGGAACCCGGCGCGTATACTCCCGCCGCGCCGGAGCGGAGAGAAAAAAAATCGGGTCAACCGTGACTCGGCTCGACTCCGACGCGGTTCCGCTTCTCTCTCCCTCTCTCGCTCTGTCTCTCTCGCGTCTCTCTTTCTTCCCGTCAGCGCACGTAGCTCGAAGGATGCAATTACAATACAATTATCCCTTATCCTCCGCTTGCCTCCCCTCTCTCTCTCTCTCTCTCTCCCTCTCCCTCTCTCCTGTCTATTTTCCAGATTTCGAGGGTGCGATTTCTGCCTCGCGAAACTACCTGCGTTAAGGAGGAATCGCATTAAACGAGAGAAAGAAAGACAGACGGAGAGAGAAAGAGAGAGAGAGAGAGAGAGAGAAGTGGGAGAGACAGGAAATGGGGAATAACAAGCGGCGAGTGCTTGTTCAATCGATTTCCATTTCAATCGATTCGTTAACGGACCTTTTTTCGCGAGCGCAGTCGACTTTAACCGCCGCAATCCCGCTACTCTTTGTTTTACGAGCTTGCGAGATTGCAAATGGTTGTAGCATGACTGTAACGCATTTAGGGGTGGAGATCGTTAGGTCTTATCGTCGAGATTTATCCTCATTTCATTCCGCGCGCGTGTCGATACGGACGCGTATGATTTCTTACTTCGTCGTCTCTCAGCTTCTGCAGCAAGCACACCGTACGGTGACCGGTTTCACTTGGATTTACGAGCTTTCGGGGGCAGTTTTGCGCTTATATATCGATCCTTCAGATAGCAGTAAATTTCCTATCGTTTTAAAACGTGGGATTATGGATTCACGATCCCCTTTCCCGATTTCCCAGGTGGCCGCTATCTGGTATTTCCTCGTTCGCTTTTCAACGAAACGACCGTTCCCACTCGAATGTTTTTAATTTAAACAATCGATTACTAATGACGAAAGAGCTTTCGAATACCGCACTCAAATTATTTTCAATAAAATACTCGACGCGTTCCGCGGAATTGCACGGTTCGCCGTCGCCACGCCTCGGTCGAATGAAAGCGTAGAGACGCTAATGACAATAATAAAGCTTTCAACGACGTCTTTACACGTCGTTAATTCGCGCACGGTCGAAAAGCGAGGATCGGCGATTATAACGGGGAAAGAGAGAGGTAGAAAAGAAATAGAGCGGCGAAACCGCAAACTCGGTGCGATTTGATAGCCGTAACCGGCCGGAAATACATTAGAACCGGACGCTGGGTCAACTTCCTGTCAAACGCCGGCACGCCCTTTTTTGCGCTCGTCTCAGTTTCAGTCTCTCTCTCTCTCTCGCTCTCTCTCCTTTCCTCCGGATCCTTTTTATGAACGCGAACGAACCACGGAACGGAGTAGCTTAACTCTCCGGTTTTGTTGGCAAAACGTGCATCATTATACCGTTACATAACCCACGGACAGCTATTTCCGATGCGCATTAAGCGCCTTTGTATACAGGATGTCCCGAAATTACCGCGTGATATTTTACAAAAGAATCCTCTGAATTTCAGGTCAAAGTTCAAGTTACTTCAAATATCTCGGTAGACTTAATAACACACAGTTTTGTGAAGGGAACAATTACTTCCGAGTTTTTACAAGGAAATATACGCCCTTAGAACATTATTTTATTACGCCTCGCAATATGTGCCGCGGGTCTTGTAACTTGAAACACGTGTATCGCAAACGGAGTCGTAATAACGAGGAGTAATAGCATGCAAATGTGCAAATAATACGGGCGCAACAATAATCAAAAGGCAATCTTCGGGTATTGATGAAGTCAGTTCGAAAATTAAATGGGCGCAGAAATAATCTCGTTCACGCGGGGAACAATTGTTTTGCCGAATATATACGATATAAATTCGGCCACACGCGCGCGTGTAAAATGTAACGCAGCGAACCGGAAAATGGTGTCTCGAAAATATTTCGCAAAATATCGCTCCCGCCGCCCGAACGACGGTCGATCGATCATCCCGCGTAGGGTTTGCGGAGGGGGATCAGGATAAATGTTCCATCAAACCCGCTTATAAGCGTTTTTTCGACCGTTTCGCTTTTCGGTCATCGCTCTCGTTATATCCAACACCTATGCAAAACCTAGCGCGCGTACTTGAGAATCGAGAATCGGACTGACAATGGGGATCAGCGAGGATTGACGCCGGCACGCGGCCTGTTAATATTTTTTTTATTATTAATTTTGATTATTTGATTAATTTTTCAAATAATAAAATAGTTTGATAATTTTATAAAAGTATTATTATCACTTTATTAAAGATATACCGACTCGTGGATGATATTTTGCTTCAAGTTCTTGGGTTTCCCGAAAATAAATTCTGTATTTCGTTACGAATATCTTGAGAGGAGGATGCGAAACCATCACCTTTGTTTGCATCCGTTAACCCTATAGCCTCGTGGAAGATCGATGGGTCTCTCGGTTGAAAAGCGGAGGATCGAGCGACCGAGTCACACCAGGAAATTCGATAGCGATTTCGCCGAGCACACGAGAGACGAAGGAGGCTCCTGAGACCGCGATTCGCAAAGAATTTCCGGAGTGCGTGTCCTTTTGAGCGACACTTTTATCGGATCTATATATGTCTCGATGGACGGCGATTTTTCTCTTCGACGGCCGAGATTCAGCGCGCGTGTGTATGCGCGAAATATTGTAAGGAGCCGAAGCCCGATACTCTTAAAATACTCTTACGATACTTGGAGACGCTTGGCTGAAAAGTGCATGCTTTTATCGGAAATTAATCGGAAAAGTAAGTCGGCGTTTCTGGGTCGACAAAATCGTAGCTAGTAATATCGATAAAGTATGAAATTTTAACAATTTTCCTGTCGCGATGACAGTCGCGAGTTAAATCATCGCCAGAAGAAGGTCGATATGAAAATCCGTTCGCGAAGCTGTCATTAAAACGAAAATCCACGCACACCCTGGTACCTGGTACAAGTTCCTAGTGTTGTCTAGGCAAACAGTCGAGCCGAGAGCCGTACACGCTTCTGCCGGCGGAAGTGGTTGGAAATTAAAATAACGCCGCGCGTCTTCCGCTATTCTGGCGGGTTCGTCTGTTTATCTATTCCGAGCCGCGTATCTAAACGGAAAATAACGGGTCGGCCGGGCAGGAGGTGCATGTGCACAGAGGTACAAGGCGGGTAAGTACGCGGAATATCATATAGCCGGCCGGTGGATTTTAGTGAGACAGCCGGAATAACAAACGCGCGTTCTCCGCGCGGCGACGACGACTCGACTCTTCGCGCGCGCGACGGCAAAAGAATATTAATCCTTTGCCCGTTGTGCGCGGCGTGCCATGCCATGCCGCATGCCGGCGCGACCGGCATCAGTGTATTCAACGTCAAGCCGGTGCGTTGTTTGCCCAACCGAATCATACGCAAGTAAGTTCCCGACTTGCATGATTAATGCCTTACCCCGAAAGTTGCCGCGCGCCGAGTCAACATCGCGACAACGCCGCCGCCTCTCGCGTTGACGGCGAACCGGAGTTGAAAGGAAGAGATTAAAAAAAGAAGAAGAAGAAGAAGGAAGAAAATTCCTCTAGCGCGCGCGAAAATCTCGCTAATTGGAACATTTCTCGTTTTCGGAGAGACGTCAGTCGGCTTCGCGTGTTGCCGGTTTGACGTGAGACTTCAGATTAACCGGCGATAACCGGCGGGACATTTATTTCTCTTTTTCTCTCTTTCCCTTTCTCTCTTTCGTTCTGTCTCCAGCCGGTTCCCTTCGAGATCTCTCTCTCTCCCCGTTTCTCATCATCACCGTCGTCCGTGACCGTCCCTCAGTACCGAGGGATATACTCACGCGTATACGTCCTGCGCGCGAGAGGGGTAGAGCGGCCCGGGACAAAGAAACCAAGACGAGTCCCAAAGTCAGGGGTCACCGCGGACCAATTTCAGCAATGCCGGGCATTTAAATGGAGCCGGAGCCTGACGTAATCTTCTATCTCTCCTCTTGATGCTCGCATTCCACGAGAGCAGTGATGATCACTACTCTCTCTTTCTTTCTCTCTCTCTCCTCGTCTCTCTCCTCTCTTCTGCGTATATGCGCGTGCATGCACGCCAAATGAAAGCGTTCTCTATCCTCCTCTTCACGGAGGAGCCTAAGCCTGTTCAGCTCCGTTCCGTTCCTCCTCCGAGAGTTCTCGCTATCGTGCGAGTCATCGCAGGATCGCGCGCCGTGTGCCACGAAGAAAAGGCGCCTTTCATGAACATGAGTGGAACAGCTTCGGGTACGCGTTCACGTGCCTTCTTCTCGTCTCGTCGCTGGTTCTCCGCCCTGCGCCGCGCATACGGAAAAGTTCGAGATAGAACGCGCCCAGGGGGGGGGGGGACGGGGGGGAGCTATGGGGGATTTCATAAATCGCGTTTAACAGAGCGACGCGGAGAAGTGACACGAATTTTAATTCGGGCTCCGAGCTGGACCAGCGTGCGGCAGCGTTGACAAAATGCTTGAAAATGAACGTTGAATCAACGTTGAATAAACACCGCCGCAAATTGGAGCGGCGGCCCATAATAGCCGTTACGTTCGGTAATGTTTCAACGTAAATCCAGCGCTTCTATATTATCGTTATCCCTCGAGCAGGAGAAAAAAAGGAAAGCGACAAAAGGACCGAGGAAACGCGTGTGGGCGAGTCATTTCATAAGTTGCGTTTTTACAGAGCGACGCGACCGACGCCGTAACTTGCGCGTTAAAGCGAATTTTAATTTGGCTTAGGCGTGTATTTTATGCGGCGGAGCATTAAAAAACGTTCAAACCACCGCGGCGCAGTGAATGAAATACGCGGAAGTGGAATATACTCACGTTATAGCCATCACGCTAAATGATATATGTTTTAATATGAACGTTAATTACAGCTATTTGATGCGAATATTTTTATTGCGTGTCTTAGAAAAAAATCATCAGTTTATCATAACAATACATCTTTTGTCGCGTTGTACCTGAAAATTACATTTTTCTCTTTTTCTGTTGCAGATCTGACGAGTCGTATCTCTTATCCGAGGAAGAACGAATATTGCCGAGCGCATAATACACGCATCTGGGAGAAGCAACTTTACGATAAAATCCTTGCGAAAGGATCAATTTTCACTTCTGAAATAGTTTAGACATTCTATCTGCGGATGATTGAATCCTATAACTAGTATAACTTATAAGAGCGAAGCCCAGAGATGCTTATTCTATCATAGAAAAGTGTAAACGAGAGTCTTTGTTTTAAAGTATAGGAACACGCAACACAAAATTTAATATCTTCCCCTCGTTTGAAACATTTACCTCGGCGCGGGGAACAAAAAGCGTTCGCTCTGTTTTATTCATACGACCCGTTGTTGCTGCGTCCAACGTCAATGGGAGGAGGACCAAGAAAGCGAGAGAGAGAGAGAGAGAGAGAGAGAGGAGCACTGAAGAAACGGAAAAATGTTGGGCGTTATACAGGCGGGCCTGACTCTTTGCTCGGCCCGTACTTTTAATGTTGGGTGAGCAAAGTTTCAGGTGTGTTTGTGTCGCCGTAACGTCGTAACGTAGCGAAACGGAAATAGCCCCTTTTAGCTACGATCATCGAGCCGGCGCCGGCGTGTGTTTTGACGGTACTCTTACGCCTGAAATTTGCTTTTTTTACCTGGCCTCTGCGCTCTCTTACTTTGAGAAAATAAAGGTGAGCAAAGTTTCAGGTGTGTGAGTTAGCGTTAAATTTGTCGGCACGCCGATCCAAATACCCGTGTCCGATATTTTGCCTAATAATATAGCTACATAGCCGAAGACAATTTGCGATGGCCGCTAATTAAAGTCATTTGTAATTTCTCAAAAGCGACGAACACACAAAAGGCTATATATGCGATTGGATTGTTTTGCGATAACACGATATTATTGTTCGATAAATTACTCTGAATACCGTGGCGATACTCAGGCACGCCGGGATCAACTGAATTAATTAATTAAATGGAACTTTATTACGCAATAATTAGCTGTGTTGTTTATCGGGACATTTCCGATGTTCGCACCACTATTGATACATTGATATATTTATATTTGAAGATGCGAGAATTTACATCAACTTTTCTCGGCATTCTCGTGAATAAATAATATTGCAGTTGTTGATTTGTTATGCGTGTTTGAGGTATTATAATAATTTAATGAAAAATGTGCAATAGGTGTAACGTGCAATTACAAAAATTCACAGTCGTTTGATCCACAGCGTTGAAGACTAATGAAAAATTATTTTATACAATTTATTACGAATTAATTTGTAAAATATGTATTAATTAATAATACTGATAATGTAATAAAGTACACATGAATGCGTTAATCAGCTGCAAAACCCCGTATCGCTTAAAGAAAAATTATTTGCTGCGGACTTAAAATAAGTTAATTAAGCATCAAATAAATTTTTGATTATTAAAATGGCAAATTTATTCGCTGTAATATCCCACAATTATATTTCTCGCCCACGTACAGAAATAAATGTTTCCAAACTGAGCAGCTGTTGCTACACTACGTTTTACTTTATCCACTCCTTCCTTATTTGTCTTCGATGTTGATTAATAATTTGTGTTGATTAAAAAGCAAATATAGACAGTATTTTTTAGTCATAACAAAGAACTTTAATTAATCTTGAAATGTATTATATGCAAGCCGGCAAGCTTTCAAAATATTCTCAGATTAAACAAAGTAACAAAAAATTTCGAATGAATATATTAAACTTATTAAGAGCGACGTGTTTATTTATTGTGTATAGAATTTCTGTTATCTTTTTTTCTTTAATCTATTATCTTGCCTGACATCGCGATGACATAAATAATGCAAAATAATTGTTGCTGCGGCTATACGAATATCTTTCATCGTATGTTTAATCGAGTCCATTTAATAGAATAATGCTATTAATTTGCATTAATTATTAATAATAATAATCAATTAATAATTAACAATAAACTGCACAGAATATTGCATCGACGACACGTCACTCAAATAGAAAGCAAATTTAACGTACAAAATTACGTAATTTCTTTTGCAATTAATAGTGATGAAGTTTAAAATATATTGTTTTTTTATTCAATAATATCGAAGAAAAGCGCTATTAGAGTATAGAAAAGCTTATTCCCCATTGCATCTAGAGACTTTTATAATTTTTATATATTTCTAAGCTTTTTCATATTAATTTTCTATTATCTTAGCGATTAGTATTTAAAATAAAGATACATTAAATGTTAAGAATTGCGTTTGCGTGCAATATTCCGTTTTTATTCGCTCGATACACGTTTGTAAGATAATATGTCGTTCGATTGGACAACATTTATATCGCGCGCGTGTTCGCATCCATTGGCTGCAGTGCTGTTCCAGGCTTCCAAGCAGTTGGCCACCCTGGCCGTAAACGGAGCAGACGACAGGGCCCGCCATTTTGCACGAGTACGTCGCGTGGAAACGAGTTTCGTCGAGTGTCCCGGTCAAAAATGATAAATTCGGCGAGCGCGATCGCTCGGCAAGCGGTGAGGAGGTTCACGACGAGCGCGGTTCGCAGGAGTGGACATCACGATCCCTACGACGGCGTTCCCGGACACGTGAGTGACGTGAATTCGCGCGGTTGCGTAACAACATCCCGCGGTGCGTGGCAACTCTGACCGGGCACTACGTTCAATCTCTCACATTTTCACTTGCAGAACTTCCCGTTCAGCACGAAAAACAGGCACGTGCTGCTGGCTATGTTCATGGTCTTCTGCGGCAGCGGATTCTCCATCCCCTTCCTCATAGTCCGTCATCAGCTGCTGAAATAAGCTTCTGGTACGTCGAGCGTGTCAGCCTGCGAGTCAGATATTTTGTAGTTGATCCCTTGGCTTTCGTTCCTAGATGCACGTCAACGCGACGTTAGGCCTGTTCTTTTCGGCTGAACTACTGCACGGTTTATCTTTCCTCTTTTTCTTTTCATGTTGGAGAGAAGAAGAGAAAAGATGAGCCGTGCAAGAAGTTCAGCTGAAAAGAACAGGCCTATTGATTAGTTAACGAACAGACTCTGACGTCACTCTAATTGTCACTCTGTTTTTTTCCAGATTACCTGCGTTGCACTAGAGTATGGTATCCTGCACCGATGCTGCGAGCGTCATTTGATTACGCTAGGATAATGCAATAGGAAATGTATGTATTTGTAATAAAGACAATTTATTAACATCTGGTCAAATGTCTATCAGATGTAGAAGCTTATTAAAATTGTTATATGTCACTTTCGTTGTGAACTTAATTCTACAGTCAATAATAATAATGCATCTGTAGCACAAGTATTTAGGTTTTACTTTGCCACTAATTTTGTTTTCTTCCCTGCGCGCTGCTAGTCAATAAGCTGATAATCACGTTTCTAAAATGCCAAAGAGATTATCGCTGATTTGAACGATAAAGAGAATTTATTGATACTCAGATAAGATATGTAAAGAATAAGAAATATATATTGAAATACGGTTATATAATTGTAACATAATATCTCGAAATGCTTTTCGCGTTCGTATACTATGCATATTACATTTATTACATACGGTCTCCATAATACAATAGATATAATTAAAATATATGCTATTTAATAGATTATATATCTTAAAAGTAGATGCATTGCAACCGGATGAATGTTACATAGTTTTTCAATTAATAATTGATCCTAGAATATCTTACAAGCTTTTTTTTTAGATTACGAGACTCTGTTTCGCGTTATTCGCAGTACGTTTTCTTTCACGTACGTGCGTCTCTTGTCATGTATCAAAATCACGTTCTGGCAGCCGCGGCCCTTTACGATACGACCGTCTTGGATAATCTACATAAAATTGACACTCATTACATTACATACGAATACGTGATGACTGACGGTATTGTTTTATATAAAATGGATGCTTACAGTTGTTATAATCTTCGTGAGACTGATAGGAGTCCGGGCAGATAATCGGAGCATTTTTTATACGATGCGATCCCCATTCGTCCTCGTGTGCCTATAGCGAAATAAAGAACGAAATTTACTTCAGACAATAATAATTTTCAATTCTATTAAATTTATAATAGAGAATATTTTTTTAGGGACATTAATAAAAATTTATGATTTTTACGAACGTGCGCCTTGTCGTATTTTCTTCTTTCGTTCGGTTTTCGGCGTTTTTTATTTAAATAAAACTTTCCCTTTTTTCTCTTAACTCTGTTCTCGCTGTCCCATTGCTGATCTTCGTTGTCACTCGCATCCTTAATTAACAGTTGCTCCTCCACGCGTTTCTGTAAAGTAAAAAAATCTGCTATCAGTCTTCTGTCATCTCTCGTTTGAATTCTAATGCTGCATCGCAGTTTTACCTCTGGCTCAAAAGAGTCTTCGTTGGCGACAATACCAGCTATTCGCTTTACGCAGAATTTCTTTTTGGCGCAGCAAATTATCCATAGTAGCAGCACACATATCGACAGCATCGCGCCAACACTTGCCAAAGTTACCATTATAGCGGAGAAAGAATTCCAGAGCTGCGAGAGAAAGCGATTTATGTATAATGACACGCCGCGCTAGTGCATCGAAACTAAAATATCGTGGGATAATTTTAATAATTCTGAAATATTATTTATTTATTTATACTTGAAATGTTATATAATATATGTTATACATATATTTTGCGAGTCGAGATTTGTACCATATTGTAACAGCCTTTCGTCATTGGATTAGTGCACGTGCGACAAACTCTGGCACCGTGATTCGGCTGATACGTACCGGGCGGGCATTTTTTACAGTGCGATACTCCGTCCTCGCTATAAGTGCCCACGTTACAAGGAACTGGAAAAATTCGTTAGCCGTTATCATATCGTTGTTTATTCTTCCGATTCTTGCGAATGAACACGTACCACAACGTGTATCACGAAGACCGTATCCCGCTGGACAGCTGGAGAACAAACCGACGTTGCTGGATCCCCCGGCGGACGCGTTTCCATCGGTCTTCCCTCGCTTCCGTCTTGCGAACGACGACTTTTCGACAACGATCGGCACCAGCCTCTGCTCGTAATGCGGCAATCTGAAAATAACTATAGTTAAAGAACTCTATAGAGATGTATTGTGAGTTGTATAAGGTCGCAACATTCCTCTCCTCTACGATAAAATGAATTATATTCGTTATATAATTCCCTAAATACTCCTTAATTATTTTATCACAGAGAAATATCTTCCGAATAGAAACTTTAAAAAATTCATAACGTAATGGAGCTTGAAAATGCAAAATATAGTATAACGGTAGATGTGAAATTGATTTCCGCACATTATAAGAAAGCAGAGGATACGTTGCGACAGTAAAACAAGTATGTATTTGTCAACTAACTGGTCTTCCCGAGGAAGATTTGTAAGTTTTTACTCAGTATCAACGAGACTTTATCCTGAATGGCTTTAAGGCAAAAAACATTGCAGCGTTTGGGATCTATTGTCATCAGTTTAACGATATGCGATGGCACTAGTAGAATATTTACTGTAATCTGTAATAAAAAATAGCGCACATTAGTGGATCAAAATTGAAAGATCCGAGAAAATCCCCTCATCTTACGTAAAGAAACCAACTTGACTTCGGGAGCAAGACGGCGTTAGGACGTAAGCGTTGCAGACATCCGCTTCGCATATAACGCTGTTCAATTTTAGCGGTAGATACGTCACTAGGACGTCCAAGTCCCTTTCGTCGCAAGATGGTACGTGATAACGGCTCTCGCCGTGCACAACGTGCCTCGGCAGCGTGACAACTGCGAAAGACGATTCCCTTTTAGTTTCGGCGAGGTCTCAAGCGTTTGCCGCTTCAAAACTCGTTGAAAGTATTCAATCGGTAATCATAGTGATTCGCACCTTGCAAATGGATTTCGTAAGCGGTCTCCACGGGTTCCTCATTGTCGGGGCTCGTGTACGTCATGACGCAGGTGTAGTTCCCCGTATCCTTCGCGTTCACGTTTCGCAATTCCAGATCGCCGTTCTCCGCCACGAAACCTACAACGAACGTGTTCCCGTGAATTCCGTCGCGCCGAAATTTCTCTTTCGATTCGAACGCGACAGGACGATGTAACGTATTATTATACCGAGGACCGCGATGCCGTCCGTTCTTTTCCACGTGTAACTCGGTCTGCTGACACTCGACAGCCAGGTGATACCATCGCCGTCTTGATTACAGGGTAAATTGAGATTAACGCCGGGTAGTGAAACAACATCGTGATCTGAAAATAAATTCCTCTCTTATACTGTTTATTTTTACATCTCGATATCGAATACTTGGAGAGAAGCTTGCAAACGGAAATACCGCGGTCGAATTCCAAGTCGCTGTTGAAATTATCCTCTAGCTCTTCCAGCTTGATATATTTCTGGCCCTTGAGCGATTCGATATTGTAATGCGGTTGTGGAAATTCTCTAGCCTCCTCCGCGTCGGTGTCCATCGAGATCACCATTTTATCCTGGGTCTCTTTATATTCGCTGCAATTAAGCGCCTTAATTTCGTCCAACGGAAAGCTCGTTCCGTCTAATAGAGATTTTATGTCGTTAATTGCGCTTGCGATGTCACAGATGCATTTAAAGCAATTATGGATTTTTCTCTCGTGCAACGTAGATGTTGATTTATTTTTACGGCCAGTGGTATTAAGATGCGTTGCTATCTCATCGTTCTTCTTCTTATCGTTGGTTTTTTTTACTCGAGGACTCGCGGCCGTCGTCGTCTTATGATATTTATTCTTTTTATTCGCGACACAATTATCCGTATTATGAAGAGAGCGCAAATTAGTGTTTTGTAATGTTCGCGATTTTGCTGGTTGCTTCTCTTTATGTTTGTCTGTAGCATCTTGGTGTTTGACAACCTGACGCTTCAATTTGCTCGCATTAACGCCGCACAGTTTACGGGTCTTCGCCGTTATTGAATCTTCATTGCTGGTACGCCGAAAATCGTTAAATTTCATCGTTCTCGCTTCTCCGAAATTTCGCTTGGAACCATTCGATCCGTTCAACTTTTGAGAATCGCGCTTTAATTTCTTCACTCCGGGTCGCTTTGTTCTCAGCTTGTAACGCAACGCATTAGTTCGTGTAACGTTTCTAAGACTAGCATTTCGCTTTTCGATTTTATAAACATTTTTCCTCGTCCTACTGTTATAAACGTCCCGTTTGTGATAAGATACATTAGACTTTACTTCGCTACTTCTTTCGTTCTTAAGAACAACGTCGAAACAAGTCGTCCTGGTGATCGATACGTCAGTGGGTTTACTTTTGTCAACCGTCGTACGTAATACGGCTGACGGTTCCGTAACGAAGTCGAGTTCCCAAAATCTAGTGCCGCCTAAATGATATGTCGTACTTTGCTCGGTGGGCCACGATTGATCCAATAATTGTCTTTCATTTTCTGTCGTTCTCTTATCTTTGCCTTTCTTGTTTAAGAATTTCCCATTGTGTGTCCACGTCGATGTTTCGTGTTCCTCATAATTCATGTAATCTATAATATTAAAATTACACATTAAAAAAAGAGATATTTATATTATAATATCGAATGCTACATCAAGATATACGTACATAGATTCCCTAATACTGCAATAAAATCTTGAAAGCGAAAGTAATATATAAAATATATGCCAATAGCGGAATGATATTATAATATAAATAAAAAACAAATAAACAAATGATATTATAGAAATTAGGACATTTGAAAAGTTAAGATTCTTTTTATCATACTGTCTATCATATCCTCGATATAATCTTCATTTTCTTCCATTTTTTTCTCCGTTTTATCTGTCAGTTCATCGTCTTCTTCTTTTAGATTATCTTCCTCTTCAATCTCATAGTATGGCGTTGTAATGTTCCTGTCCTCCCCAAATTCAGTTACATAATTGTCATCATTTGATTCAGATATAATCGCTGTCAGTTCATCTTCATCTGGTTTTGCAGATATTATTTCGTGCGTTTGTTTGTCCTCGTCGTAACTGAGCTGTAGCACTTTTACCGTGTAAGATCCGTCCTCTTCGGCTGTCGCAGTTGTTGCTCTTTGACTCGAAATATCGGTCGTGCTTTTTTTTGTCCAAAATCGTGCATCGTTTTTTATCGGTGAAACGTCTCTTTTTCGAACATTCGATTTGTCGTCAATAGGAAAGTTATTTTTTCTCGCGGAAATTAAATCATGTCTGAAAAAAGCGTTTCTCTTTCTATGTTCCTTATCCAACGTAGACGTTGCGGTCGGTTGGAAGATACTTTTATGATAATCAAGAACACGTTGTTCATACAGAGAGGTTTTATCTTGAAAATCGCTAGTCGTGTTTCCTCGCGTGTCAATAACGGTTGCAACCTTCTTTGGAAATTTCTTCATCTTTCTGTAGATCCTAATGAAACCTTTAAAGTGTTGCAGTGGCTTCGTGGTTTCGTTGCTTAGCCATTCGTGGAGCGACAGCTGCAGATTGTCGATCTTACGCGTAGTCTCTTCCACCCTTCTGCGACATCGAAAATCTAATGGAACATTCCACCTCGGTCTTTTCATTTTTCTTGTACTTTGCAAAGCGAGAAGCTTTCTGCTTAATCGACCAACTGATCTCCTCTCTTCGTTTTTCGCGGGAAAATACGGCAGGCAGATCTTTTTGGTCACAATGTTCCTTCTTCGTTTATCTAAAGGAATCGTCGTATTTTCCAAAACGTTCAAACATACTCGTTTCGTCACGATTTCTTCTTCTTTCTGTGTGACGGCTTCTTCAGAAACATACTTCGTTCGATTCTTTTCTTGGATGTCTCCCATTTCTGTCTGTCGAGAAGTTACCATCTTCGTAGTCGTTCGATTTTCTTTCTTCTCAGTTACCCCTTTAATCTGAGTTGTTAATTGCACTTTTATAGTGGTCATTTCGGTCGGCGGCACTGGCGTTGATAAACTTGTGAGCACAGTCGATTTCTGGGATGGTGTAACTGACGTTATTTTCTCTTCAAACGCTTTCATGTATCTTTTAAACTCTATTATATCTTTCTCCAATCTTTCCTCTCTTTCCAGTAAAATCCTTTCTCTCTCCTCTAATTCGCGCTCCTTCTTGCGCAATTTTTCCTTCAATCTTTCTACTTCCTCGTCGTACTTTACCTCTGTAGTCGCGATAACGGCCAAAGTCGATGAAGTAGTTGTGCTAGTAAACTCTAATGTTGGTGAAGTGAATAAAGGCTTACTATAAATCGCTGTGTACGTTTCTTCTGTAGTGTACCAAGTAGGAGTTGTAACTGAAACTACACTGACTTCCTCAAATCTTTCACTAAACGTAGCAATGGGTAACGTAATGAACTTTTCGGTAGCCAATGTAATTGGGCTAGTAACGGTGGATGAAGCGAATAAAGGCTCGCTGTAAAGGGTTACGTAACTTGTAGTGTACATTTCTTCGATAGCATAAGGGGTCACAGTTTCAATTGAAGCCAAGCCGACGTTATACAAATCTATAATAGATGTAGTGACATATGGCATCAAGGTTGCATAATCCGTAATTTGCACTTCTTCTATCTCTTCTGTAAAATACGTAACAGGTGTAATTTTCTCAGTGGTCACAAGTATAACTGTTTCCTCTGTAGCGTATGTCGTAGGTGTACTTCCTTCTGTAGTTGCTTCCTCCGTCTTCTCCGTCGCGTATGTAACTTCTTCTGTGGTACTGAATGGAGTTGTTTCAGATACGTAACTTGCAGTATATATTTCTTTGGTAGTATAAGAAGTTGTAGTTTCAATTGAAGCTAAACCGAAGCTATGTAAATCCACGATAGTGATACACGGTGTCCGAGTGACATAGTCCGTGATTTGTACTTCCTTTATTTCTTCTGTAACGTATGTAACAAACGTGATTTCCTCTGTAGTGTAAGGTATAATTATTTCCTCTGTTTCTCCTGTGATGTACATCGTAGATGTGCTTTCTTCCGTAGTCGCTTTTTCCGTTTCCTCGGTAGTATATGTCACAGATGTGATTTCTCCTATGATACTAAATGGAATTGTTTCAGTTGGAACCGTGGTAACTTCGGCTAAACTCGACGTAGTAATATAGGGACCAGGGGATATGATTTCAATCTCAGTAGTTGATACAGTTAAACTTGTACTAACAGTCTCGACGGGAGATGTGATCGAGACAGCGACAGTAGTCGTAACATAGCCTTCGGTTGTACCAGTCACTGTTGTAATATTTTCCGCTTTCTCTTTCTCACGCTGCATCATTTTCCTGCGATTTTCTTTTTCCACGTCCCACTGTTTTTCCTTCTCCTTCAGCCTTTCTTCTCTCTCCGCCATCTCCCTCTCGTGCTGTTTGAGATGATCGAGTCGTTGCAGTAACTGTTCTTTCTCTTCCTCTCGTTCAACAGTTTCGCTCGTCGTGGTGAATAGAAGTTCAATTTCAGCTTCGGACGTGATAAACGGTGTGATAGTCTCTTCTTTTGTCGTCGCCAGAGTGCTAACTTCATAACCGGTTTCGACAGTACCTTCTGTTTCAAAAAATACAGTACTCATGGTCGTTGTGTGCACTTCAAAAGCTTCCTTTTCCGTTAATGTCGTCAACGCCGATGAGACGAAGAAAGAAGTCAACTTCTCCACGGTCTCTGTTGTCTCAGTCTCTGTCGAAACTCGTTCTGAAGCCGTAGTCTTTTCCAATATAATCTCCGGAATTTTTTTAGGCTTTGTGATAAATTTTGGAAAGGTAACCTCGCGCCATATTTGCGTGAAGCGTTCTCTGTCCGTGTACTTGGGCGGAATTGTTAGGTATTCAAGTGGCTCCGTCGGGATTTTGAAAGTCGTCGATGGGGGAAGAGTGTATTCCTCAGTAGAGCCAAAAGTTAACCACGTTGTTGATTCTGTCCTTTCGCTCGCAGTCGACGCTGTAAATTCAGTTTTCGCTTCAACCGTCGTTACATTTTCAATAATGGTTAATGCAGACGTTTCCAAGGTAGAAGTAACTTCTTCTTCTTCGGTATAAGGTGTTTCCGAAGTAGTTTCCGCCGTTAAAGTCACATTAGTGTAAGTCAATATAATCTCAGAAGGTGTTGAGTATGTTGTAAACTCTGAAGTTTCTATCTCATACGAAGTCGTTGTACCTGTGACATAAGGCAGACTTGTTACCTTTTCTTTAGGCAGTTTCGTGTATTTTACCGTCGCAGTGATCCTTTTCTTCGTCGTGGTTTCATACTCGTCATAATAATACCACTTGCCAGTCGGGATTTCAGTGTCGTACTCCTCGTATTCTTCATACTCCTCTTCGGACGGTTCTTTCGCTACGTAATATTCCGTTTCAGCTTCTAACGTTTCCTCAGTAATTGCTGGCGAAATTGAAACAGTGGGATGGGTCGTTGTTCCGATAAATAATGTAAAATTCTTTGTAGCGTATGTTACCGATGGACTTTCAGTCGTTGACATCGTAAACTCTTCTGATACAGTTTTTGGCAATACAGAAATAACTTCCGGCGTAGTGGCAGGCGTTTCCGACGTAATTATTATTGATAGAATAGATTCGGAAAATGGAGCAAGCGTCACGGTGACTGCAGTTTCTAAGATCGTTGCATATTCCGTTTTTTCAGTCGTCGGTATTATCCAGCTTGTCTTCGTAATTTCTGTGGCAGTTTCTTCCAGAGGCAAAACAGTAGTAGTCGGAGCTATTGTGGACACCAAACTGCTTGTCTCTATTGCCGACACTGTGCTTGTTTCAGTGGAAATCAATGTAACTTCCGAAAGTGTCGATATTCCCTCAATCGTTGTTGTAGGAGTAACGGTAACGATTTTTTCAGTCAATACAGTTTCTTCGGTTATCGTGGGCAGAGTAATTGTTTCGATTGCGAGGGAAATTGTTTCTGCAGTCGTCTCAATAAAAAAAGGAGTAGTAAACGACGGCGAATACGTCGTTGGCGTTGTTTCTCTTACGATCGTGACTTCTTCTGTAACCCAAGTCGTTATTTTTTCTTTTGTACTTTTGTAGTAATATTTTTCATACTCTTTGGTTTCTTCATATTCTTTTATAGAAGACGTCGTACCTTCAATGGTCTCTGTTAAAAAAGATGAAGTAATTAAGGGAGAAGTAGTTTCATAAGCCGTTGTCCCAGTATGCACTATAACAGGCGTCGTAATTGGAATTTTGGTGATAGAAGGCGTTGTTACTGTAGAATATGTGACCGGAGATATTGTACTTTCGAAGATCATTGCTGTGATTGTGCTAGCAGTAGTACCGGAAACTGTCGCATTCTCTGTCATATATACCGCGATAGATGATGTAGTCAGAAATGTTTCGACTGTAGATACCGTTGTACGAATTGGCAATACAGCCGTGGTTTGAAGTGCCTCAAGTGAAGACGTCGTAAGTATTGAGGAAGCTGTAGTCTCTTCTATTAAAAACGTAGAAAGCGTAGTGCTCGGCGTTTCACTTAACATCGTACTTGTAATAAGTGATAAGGGCGTTGTCGTTACTACTTTCAATGACGTGGTTGGAACGGTCGTAGTCAAGAACGTGCTGGAAATTGTAGTATACGGCGTTTCACTTAGCGTCGTATTTGTAATTAGCGTCTGTAACGGCGTGGTCGTGGTTAATTTCAACGTAGGAACTGTGGTTTCAACGGAAGTTGCTGTAACAGGCGTCGAAGAAACTAAGATGCTCTTAGTTGTTTCCGTAGTAAAAATTGTAGTGAAAGTAGTCAGAATTGATGTTGGAAAAAATTCTTTCGGGGACGTCGTTGCCATAGACGACGTAATACTCTCTGATGTAACAGACTCAGTTGTAATATACGTAGTCGAAATCATTGGTATTTCGCTGGCTGTCGAAGTTTCGATGGATGTTGACGCTTCCTCAGTTGTTAAAGTTTTATTAATTGTTACCATTTCGGTTATTGTGGTTTCTACAGACGTTGAAATCTCAGTAGCTGTTGTTGAAGTTTCGGTAGTAGTTACTGCAATTTCAGTAGCCGTTGCGGTTTCAATAGTTGTTGGGATTTCTGTAGCTGTTTCTTCCGCGGTTATAGTTTTCTCGATCTGTGTCACTGGACTCTCGTCCTCCGGTATTAACGTGGTTATTGTAACCTCTGTCGACGTACTTAAAATCGTTTCCGTTCTTTCAAAAATAGGCGAACTTGCGATTGTAGTAATATTAAACAAAGTCTCTCCAAAAGTAGATTCTGACGTTGTAGTTTGAAAACCTTTTGTAATTGTCAGAGTTGTTGAAACTGGCACGGTAGAAGATGTAGTTTCAATTGTCAATTCTGCTTCTACACTCTTGAATAATGATACGGTCGAGAATGTTTGCATTGTTTCCGTCGTCAAAGTTGTCGATGTAACTTCCACAGTTTTTTCCTCTGTGGTCACAGTTTCAGCTTTAATTGATGCGGGCATCTCTTCGATTGAAGTAGCCGCAGGAATCGTAATCTTCATAGTAATATCCGTCATACCTTCTAAAAATGGAGTTAATAGCATGGCAGTTTCGGTTGTAAGAGTTTCTATCGTTGGAATTACGATAGGAGTCTCAGTTACTTCAGTAGTGATCGCGACAGGTGATATTATAGTCATTTTCTCAGTGGTTGAGATTGCAGCTTCATCAAACGGAAGGATTGTTAATTCCGTCGTATAATATAGTGGCGACGTAATTGGCATCGTTATAGTAAAAGCACTCAACGTAACCGGCGATTGCGTCAACGATATAATTTCCGAAATTCTGGGAGTTATATCTTCGTAATCCTTCATCCTCGTATAATTTCGTTCGTAGTCCTCGCTGTATCCAAAATCAGTAACTGTCGCATATAAAGATGATTCGGTCATCTCGGGGGCTCCTTTTTCTTCTACGATCGTACTCGAAGTTGTAATTGTAAACTTCTCGGTAAGGTATGGCAAGAATGTTAACGCGGACACAGAAAATTCTGTGGTCGTAAAGATCGGCGGTGACAACGATTCTGTTGGATACTGCGTGGTCCCTACATAAGGTTTTTCAGTCTTGCTCAACAATCGAAGTATATCGAGGTAAGCTGTCGCTTCCCTATAAAGCTGCGGATCAGTAGGAGAAAATTTCTTTTCTTTATCAGAACTAGATATTTCGCTCGACATTACTCTCTTTACATTGAGTTGTGGATCTCGTTGATCTGACAGGAAACGCGCTGAATTATCATTCGTGAATATATCTGGAAACGTCGAAGGTGTATTGCTCGGTGGAATTATTGATCTGCTTATTTGATTATTTTCTTGACTTTGCGTACGCCCGCCAGCAAAATTATTTTTGCTCGATTTATAATTTTTCATCAAACGCGACGATCTTGCAATTGACATCGTTGTACGTTTCATCCTCTTCAATCCGGCTCCGATAAGCTGTTGAATTGGCTTCATCTCGTAATTTTTTGTCAGAGACTTCAGATTCCTATTAAACCTCGAATAAGGCAGTCTGCGCCTCTCAACGTCGCCTGATTTGGGGAACTCTCTCTCATTCAATTTTCTCTTTTTAAGGAAGTTTCTGTCACTCTGTACCTTTGAATTGGTAATGGAGCTTTCGCGCTTATAAAACGGTGTCGTCAATTTATTTAAGAAGAGACCATTGGTTTTCTTTCTAATTTTTGCATCACGTCCTGTAACACTTCCGTCTTTAGTTTTAATGCGTTTCTTTTTCGACGAATGACTGTTAAAACTTTCTGTAGAGGAATCAAAATTACAGCGATCTACTTTGTTAGTTAGATTTGCGATATTCGTGACTTTTCTATCTTTATTCTCTCGCTCGGTCCTGACGACGTTTTTTTTATCGCACAGTCTACTTTGCACGTCGCTGAGGCTCCGGTTGACTAACTTAACTGCGTTCAACAACTTCTGCAGCTCCGAGGACAATGGTTTAATTGCCATTAATAAATCGCGCGAGTTCTCTACGTTAGATTGCGCTTTCTTTAGTGACCATTTATCGATATTTGGTGCAGCTGTCACGTAATCTTCTGCATTAAGTAACAAATCCACATCGCTAGATCTATTGTAATCAAAATCGTTGGAGTAAGTCGACTTCTTATTGTTATATTCGCCAGGAATCGAGATTCTGTATTCCTGACTATCTTTATCTATATCTTCACTATTCGAAACGTCTTCAGCATTATCAACGAAGGTGTAAGTAATATTTGGAAAGAACGTATTATCTTCGTTCGCGGACGCGTCAAAGACAGTCGAGATATTATCTACAAAGTCTGTTACAGGTTCATCTTCGTTCCTTCCTGTCGAAAATTTAGAGTCGTCTCCCACTTTTTGTGACACAGCAAATACCTCTTTATCATTAGTTAAGTACATTTCAAAAGTGGCTGGCGTATATATCCCGTCATCATGCGTGTCAAAAATATCTCGAAAATCCGTGGTTGTCAATTCGATACCAAACTCGCTGTATCCCAAAGAAGTTCCATAACTCTCGCTAGCTTGTTGAAACAGACTCATCTCGTCGTCTAATTTCGTCGCGGACAAGACACTCGATTGACCGTCATTTGCGTTTTCCTTCAAAGATACATCGTCACTCGGGATATCGATAGAAGAAGATGATAGAACTGCCGACGAATCGTAAGAATTTATTCCGTCGCGCAAATTATTATCCGCGAAAGAAACGTTCGCGTAATCCGGAACGGGAGAGACAATTTGTTCGTCGGAAATTTCAGGAGTAGCGTCGATTAATTTGGAACGAGTCCGAAAGGCGATACCCGGATACAAAAAGTCAGGATAAGACGCCGGGTTTTCCGTGGGATTCGCACTTTCTCCAGGAACACGAGGATCAAGGGTAGGATAAAAATAATTCGCGTCGTGGTCAAATAAATGGTGATTAACTCTTTGAAGATAAGCTCTACCTACATCTTTCACATCATGGTGCATATGAGCCTTGAACGAGAGAATGGCGGACGTTGCGTTGTTCTTATCTCTCTCTAACAGCTTATATCGCTTAGGTACAATTATTTCGTCCACGCCTGTTCGAGGACTCTCCCGGACGTCTTTCAAAACGTACAGATTCTTAGAAATCGGTACGAGTAGAAATCTTCTGTTAGAGCCTGTTAGACGATCATCGAATGGTTCTTTTTTAACGTTATATGAAGAATCCCTCTGATATGCATCGTGTTGCTTCTGAAATCCTTGAGAATGCTCAGGAAGCAACATTTTATTATTTAGTTCTTTAAAGGCAGAACTTCTTACGTCGACCTTAATTTCGGATTTCGGATTTGCGATTTTGGAAAATGTTAAGTCTTTATTGGAGACATTTATGTCAAATGATCTTCGTGGATTTGGATCGGCGATAGGCAATGTAGCTTCATTTACAGAGCGATTGTAGTCTAAATTCTCTAATTGCGACGGCGGCCTTTCAAACGCGAGCAACGATCGATCATTCATCTCTGTTTCCATGATCGTCGGATTCGTCGTAGAATCAGAATTAATTGCGGGAACTGTTGCTTCCGGGACTTGCCAAATGGGAAATTTTATTACGTTCGACGAGGGATTTTGCTCGTCGATATCATCGTCGTTCGCGTAGTTATTTCGACGACGGGCGATCTTGCGATCCGACTTCTTTGCACATTTCTTCCGTTTTCGCAAACTTCGCTTGACTCGCTCTAAGTTGTTCCTTCTGCTTCGCGGAAAATCGTCGATTTGATTCCCTATTAACGATTGCCTGTTGCGCTTATTTATCATCTGAATTATTCCATCGTCGATAGGCATTTTGGACACTCCGCTCCGCGCTGTTTCACTTTTCTGTTTGAAGACGTATCTCATGCTTCTTCCTACGAATGTTCAAGGAAAGAGATGTTGAGAGAACATGCGTGAAAATTATTATTAGTTTAAGCAAAAAGTAAGTAACCCCTTTCTCTTTGTATATATAAAACCTGTTCAGATTTTTACTGTTTAATGAAAAGATCACTCGAGAGGAATTCAGTACGTTTAAGTAATTAATGTCAAGGATACCTGGTATCGTTTTGGCGATATCGCCACCAATCGCGATTCTTGCCACATAAGCCGCAATGTAAAATACGATGAAAAGGATAATTCGCATAGCGTCATATCACGGGCATCCTTAGAGACGGTGTTTCGCTCACGATTCGCGCGTACCGTCGCCGCTATTTCGCACGAATTTTCCATGGAGCATCACACGATGAGTGTCACGTAGGTGCACTGTCATGTAAAAAGCGAATGTAATGTAAAAGCGATACGTCAAGATACTTGTAGTGCTCGCATCGACATGAACACGTGAAGTTTGACAGGAGTAACATCAATAAATGACGAACGCAAACGAGAACGTTTTACTTACAAAAATTCTCAATCGATTTTCTGATTAATCTGTATCACCGTGATCTGTATGTATATATTTTATTATTATATAGCTAGCATTATTTCTCACTCATCTTACATATAATTATCGTCACATTATCGAAATAGCGATGTAAAGTTCATCAACTCCTGCAGTTATGCAAGCATTTGTATGCAAGCGTATGTAGAGTTGCAAATCTGCAGGCGGTAGCTATTTCTCTTTAGCAATTAATATTTTATTAATTATTAATGTTTTAATTAATTATTTAAATTTGCTTTATATCAAATTAAATGGTAATTAGTAAAAAAAGCTAGTTAGTCTTGGTGTTAGCCTTATTATAAAATGTAAAGATTGATACAATCTTTGTTTATTAAAGGAATGAACACTTGTAAGCGAGGTGAAAATGCGAGGCGAAAAGTGAACAAATTTATTAGATTTTGACCAATGAAATCGTAGATACTCTAGTGAATTCTCTCACTTTTCACCTCGTTTCAAGATACGTAATAGGCTCCCTGAACTAGAGAATCTCTAAGCATAAGATAATAGTCACAAGTTAATAGGCATAAGTACTATATATATGTATTTATGTTTATGTATATATTACTAATAATGTATATTTTGTAATTTTTAAATACATAATAAAACACATTGCATTACTGATACAAGACAAATGACTTTTAAATATCCTTCCACACTCCTATTCTCATATATTCCTACGAACTAAACAGAAATTGCATAAATTGTAATTCCTGAAAATTAAAATTCAAAAATTTTAGCACAAAATCTGATTTTACAACACTCGACAAGAATTTTCAATTTCTGATTTATCAACATAAAGAATTTTCAATTCCTAACTTTATTAACATCAAAATTTTTCAATTTCTAATTTATCAACATAAAGAATTTTCAATTCCTGACTTTATTAACAAAATTTTTCAAAATTTTTCAATTTCTGATTTATCAACATAAATTCTTGATTTATCAACATAAAGAATTTTCAATTATTTTTTGGAAGGAAAGGAAAGAAGAGAAAGGTAGAATAAGTAGGTAATACTTCATTGCTTCTGTAAAATACTTCAATTTTATTTTTCTTATTTTATTTACATCAAGAGTAACATTATAATTAAAGTTAAGCATAATTATTGTAAACGAGATAAATTAACTATTGCAAGTTGTGGTTTCAATTTTTACACAAATTATCGCTAAAATTAACAATCTTTAACATAGACAAAATATCAGGAGAACAAAAATTGCTGTGGAAGATTATACGCTATTCGGGATTTTAAAGAAAAATTAAAAAGTCTTGTGTAAATGGACAAAGTTGGTTCAGGGGGAAACTCCAGCCATCGGGGGCTGTGAATGGCTGTGGTCAATCGCTGTGGTCAAACGGGACGCTCCCTTCTGCTTACCAGCCCGAATTCTGATTGGCTTCTGCTTTCCACATGAAGATGTGACGAACAGTAGACAGAAAGAAGAGAAGGAGAGAGAACGCGCGTCCTTCGCGAACTAATGCGAGACCTTCTCTCTCTCTCTGCTAATGCTATTTAATTCTAATTTATTGTACATACATGAAATCGGTAAACGTGATACAGACGATTATGCTTTGATTATTGTTTAAGATTTTAAGTGATTCAAAGTGATGCACGAGTATTCGCACATTGAATCTCATCACAAAGTTAAGGTTATCATGAGATTTTGATAAAGAGACATAAAAGTTAGTATCACACGTACATATAACAGTCTAATACATTATTATGAATATTAAATTGACTGTACATCAAATCTATAACAATATTTATTTGTAGGTGCTGTCAAACTATACAGTGTCATGCCTTTCAGAATCTCTCGTATACCTATTCTGGAGCATGTTTGAAGATAAAGAAGAAACTTGTCTCTTAAGCGATTTGCCAAAATTCTTTTTATTATTCCAAAAGGCAATCTAAGAGAAAGAACAGAGATTTCTCAAACGTAGCAAAATGAAGGCGCTACTTAAAATATTATATTCGCTCTGTTGGAGCAACGCGTACTTGATAATGGGTATATGCATGGGCCTAAGCTTCAGTCTCCTGTTGATACCGATTGACGTTGACAGACAGCACGACGTAGCGGAGTCCTTCGATCATTCCTCGAATACCTTGGAAGATATAGATCCTTACGAGCCAAGGATAAACACTGACAGCAAGCCGCAACCGGTGCAGAAAGCGAGGAAAGCGTTTGTACGGCCGAGATACTATTCCACGGAGCTTGGGATCAGGGAGAAACTGTTTGTGGGCGTTATAACGAGCCGCGAGCATCTGCACAGCAGGGACGTGGCGCTGAACAAAACGATTGCTCATATAGTAGATAAAATTCGCTACTTCATCTCCATACCAGAAGGGACCAAGCCGAACGTCTCTTTCCCCGGCATAGTGGGGTTCACCGACACGAGGAACATCCTGAAACCTTTCCACGCCATGAAGTACATCGTTGATAACTATTTAGAGAGCTACGATTATTACTTTCTAACTAAAGATGTGAGTTATATAAATGCAAGAGGCCTAGTGGAGTTCGCGAATAAAATAACCGTGAGCCAAAATGTTCACATAGGCGTTCAAAGCGAAATTGATACCTACTGTTCTCTAGGTAAACGATACAGACTTACAATTCAATAGGTTCGATTAGTATCAATAAGTAACTGAAGCTAAAATTACATTTTCAGAATCCGGTATACTTCTGAGTAATTCTGTTATACGAGAAATGAAAAATAATCTAGACTGGTGCGTGAAGAATGCATATTCGGATTCGGACGATGTTAATTTCGGTCGTTGCATCCTCCATTCCACTTCTATGCCCTGCGTCAATCATCTGCAAGGACGAAATTTCACATTTACGCGGTTGACGCCCACATTTAATTTCGAGAAAGATTTCGCCCGGCTGACCGAGCAAAACGAATTCCAGAATTCGCTTTCCGTATATCCCGTCTACGATCACATGCTCATTTATAAATTTAACATGTATTTCGCCGCAGTGAGTTCTTCTGAAATAATATATAGATAAGCATATCGAGCATTTTGCACAAAATGAATGATTTGCACATAGGCTATTACAGAATTCGAAAATATGTAGATTTTTTTGTAACACATTACTTTCAGATAAATGCCATCAAAGTTCACAAACAGATTACTGATATACGCAAGGTAATATCTGCGACTGCACATTTGGGCCCGCCGAGTCAACGTAATGTATCATGGCCCATTGGAAATCAACCTGGAAATACACCTCTAGGACGCTTTGACGTTTTACGCTGGTCTTATTTCAACGCATCTCACGTTTTCTTCGAGACCGACTTCATTAACATTCAGGAGCTGAAGGGCGATACAAAATCCGACATAGATTACGTGATAAACACAGCTGTGGACAATATTGTAAACAGATACGATAACAAACTTAGCTTTGTCAGATTGCTGAATGGCTACCAAAGATTCGACGCGTCCAGAGGGATGGATTATATACTCGACTTGATATTTAGCGAAGTGGCCACAGGCAAGGAAATAAGGAAACGAATTGAGATCTGCAAGCCGTTAGGAAAAGTAGAAATTATACCCGTGCCCTACGTGACTGAAAATACGAGAATTAATATAATTATCACCATTGATCTGAGCAGAAAGCAGGACGCGCTAAATTTTATCGACCACTACGCACAAAACTGTATTGAAAAGAAATGCAAGACCTCCCTCATGGTGGTTGGTACAACGTTTTAAAATATACTATTTTTCTAATATTGTATTATATAAATAATTACAATTTTATAGTAAGTAACATTAAAATATTATACATTTATATATGACATTATTCTTGTAGGTTCTCTTGTATAATTCAGATTCACCGTCGAAAGGCAGAGGCGACGTTTATCACGAAGTAAAATCATTCATATCAATGCTGAACGAGAAGTACAAAAAGGACCAATCTAAAATTACTTGGCTCTCAATTCGATTGCCAGCCAATGTAACTTCCATAGATTTGGATCCGATGTTGAAGATCGCCGTGACCGACTTGTGCGCGAAGAAGTTCTCGTCGGAGAGTCTGGTTCTTCTCGTAGAAACGGGAACGAAACTGAAAGTAGATTATTTAAACAGGGTAAATAAATACGCGTATACGCCAAAGTTAATATTATATGTAATTACTTCGAATACAATTAATTCGTTATTCTGTGCCAGGTTCGAATGAACACTATTAGTCGCTATCAGATATTCAGCCCGATTCCATTCATCGAATTTCATCCCGATATAATTTATCCAAACGAAGCAACTCACGACGAAGTGGACGTCAATAGCAACTACGGAAAATATGACGAGCATAACTATAACAATATCGCGTTTTACATTAAAGACTACAACGCAAGTATGTCTTCAACTCGTTTTATGAAGCCTGAATATATTGTTATATGAATAAAATTTGATGTTTTCGCGTAAATGTGTTACAGTGCGGCAGACAGTCGAAGCGAACATTCCGTTAGCGCGATCGGACAAGGACATTGCCACTCTACTGAAACTTACCAAGCACAGTCCTGTAACTTCCTTGTTTGAAATGTACGTGTCGTTCAGCGACATGCACGTATTTCGCGCGATAGAGCCGACACTGAAGATAAGATATAGAGATGTCAACTGTGACGACGCTCTCAACGACAGTATTTATAAGAGTTGCCTTAAACTGAGGAACAATCACCTGGGTAAACGTAGTCAACTGGCTAGACTGATATTCGATTATCAGAGCTATTAAATGTAAAAAAGCGTAGATCGCGATATACAATCTTTACAAGAAGAAACGCTATTTAATTGTAATTTACATTATTAAGGGTGGACGCTTTAGATCTTCATAGAGCAAACGAAAAGTAGATAGGTTTACAATTATCTACAAACTAGAAAGATATTCAATACATCTGTTAGATATATTTTTTATATAGATTTATATACAAGTCAGTTATATATTATATGAGCATTTTATTTATTCATATATATTTTATTCTCCAAATAAATACTCGTCATTGATATAGTGTTAGTTTGTCATTTGAAAATATTAAATCTAGGGATTTTATTCTTCAGAATTGTAAAAAAATAATTGCACCTATTACAATTGCATTACGATGGCGATGTATGTATAAAAATTTTAAGAAATCCGATGAATTATCGTAATCTATAAAATCGTCGATATGTTAACAAAGAGATACCGCAGAACAAAAATTATACAGTCGGCTTCCTTGGAACATTTCTTCTCAGTTCTATCAGCATATCACCGTTAATCGCTATCTGACTCCGATTCAGATAACTGCAGATCATCATTTAAGAGATTGTCCGACATGAACAATGTGGGTGAGGCAGTTGTGCCATTTAAATTACCTAAAAAAAAAATAGCATTTTTAAATATAACTTCAAACAGAGAGTTGACAATTAGAAATGCTTTCGATAAATTTACAAGTGCAAAAAGCACAGAGAAATGATGTAAAATTAATATTTTCTATTTACCATTAATTGCTGTTGGCACTGAAACGTTTTCCGTTTCGTAATCGCTGCTTGAACTATCAGAACTCGAACTGCTTGAACTAGAATCGCTCTCCAAGGTAGTCGATTTTGTATTTGGTATTGGAATTGATAGAGAAGCTACAGTCTGAGAGGAAGATCCAGGCATCATTGCTGCTGACAGCGCGAAGTCATCATTGTCGGATCCGATCATTGGCAGACTGGCCAAGGTCGGTTGTCCACTCGACGATTGCACAGGCGAAGGGCTGTCATTCAATTATGTTACAGTACATTCAATAATTTCATGTTTAAATGTTAAATATTGTACATGGAAAAAATAAAAAAAAGAATTTAAACAAGCAGTGAGCAACGATAACAAAGATACAAAAAATTTTTAGCAAGAAACATGGAACAAATAAATTTTTTTTTAACTTTTCCTACATCTCGATTTAAAAATACATCTAATGATACGTACCTATTGACAATTATAGTCGGTGGACTTGTTTTATCGTACGGCGATGTCCGTTGAGGGCTCTGTTGTTTAGGATGCAGCTGCAGCGAAGGTTCCCTCTTTTTTCCACTAATAACTTTGGTCCTTCCATTCGCCCTGCCATACGTGGGGCTCCTTTTAACCTCAACGGGCATGGAATTGTTATTGCTATTGCGTTTCGGCTCCGCTCTGCGGGCAAACAAGATTTGTAATAAGACACAGTAATACACGATACATGAGTGACGCAACAAAACGACGGACTACGACAAACGTACCGCGTCTTCTTAACCTGGATGTTCGCGGCTAGTTTCTCCAATGTAATCTCCCCGGTAACTTTGTCGAAGATCAGGACGTACTCCTTGTTGTAGGGCCTCTGCGAGCCCTTGAACACAGTGTGAGGGGTGCCAGCGCCATCCAGATGTGGCACAGTGACCGTTATCGTGTTATCCGAGCCCACGTCGACTCTGGCTACCTTGGAGTCGTCGACGCTCGCAGGTTTGAAATCATCTGGAAGAGTCATACGGATTAGATACATTCTGAGATTAAACATATTCTCGGAGCAACACCATATTCTCCCCGACTAAAGATCCTCTCGCTTTGCTCCTGTCTCTCTCTAGTCTAGATTCTCTAAGTAGATTCGAAATAAATTGAAACAAAGAATATCGAGATTGCCGTCCCTACCGCCTGTCTCTACGGCAATTTCGAGAAGTCAGACTTACATTTCAAGGTGTGAAACTTGGAGCTGTTGCTCGTGAAGCTGGGACCCAGCTTGAGCTCGCGGACCTCAGGCCCCAAACCGAGTCGCTCGGCCATGCTGACACCTTGCATTATTTCGTCCTCTCTTCTCGCAGCTTTCTCCTGCTCGTTTTAATAAACAAATTACTCGGGAGGGGAACAAACGCGGAGCACCGATATCTCTCTTTCTTGCCCCTCGCGTTATTGCACACCACTCTGGAAACGAGATAAATATGGTACGCGGACTCTACCAGATTCTACCAGGCGCCACTTGGCTCTCTCCGGAAATGACGCGAGACGAACGACGAATGCGCATCGCCGGAAGCCGGAAGTGCCGCGCTAAGGGCCGCTGCGCATGAAGCGATTTAATTATCAGGCTCGTTTCACGCAGCTTCAAACTCTCGTTCTATCTTTTTCTTTTCTATCCAACGTTTAATTACGTGTTTATAATTAATATTTTAATAATAATAACGTGTTTTATTTTATATTTGTTCTATTTTATTTTCGTTTTATTTCATTATCAAAGGACCCCGCACAAAATATATGGAAATTGGCTTTCGGTCGAATTAGCTGAAATTTGAATATGTTGTTATTCAAGTGATTCTGAAGAAATGTTTCCATAAGCCCAACCTTATCCTATGGACAGTTTTTGCGCTAAAAGCTCTGGAGGATTCAGATATGAGCTATTTGAGGATTGGGAATTGGGAATTGGGAATTGGGAATTGAGAATTGGGAATTGGGAATTGGGAATTGGGAATTAGAAATTGGGAATTGAGAATTGGGAATTGAGAATTGGGAATTGGGAATTGAGAATTGGGAATTGGGAATTGAGAATTGAGAATTGAGAATTGAGAATTGGGAATTGAGAATTGGAAGATTTATCAAATATCGTTATTTTATTATATATTATCGTTATTTTTATTATTGCACAACCACGTCGCTCGATAAGCTACTTTTTATCTCCTAATTCTCTCTGTAAATTTACGTTAATCCGACAGCCAATAAGCGCGCTCCAGGTAGCCTCGTCATCCAATCCTCGGCGGTAGCCGAGGGCCGTGGCTTTCGAAAGCCGTTATCACGGGGCGGCGGGAGGCGAGAGGCGGCTTGGCGGGTTTCGTCTTCGTCGCGAGGGGGCGAGGGATCAGTAGTGGGATCGCATCGGCTCAGTCCCCAGATTCGCCCGTGTTCGTGCGTGTCGTCATCGACATTGTTGTGTGCGTGTGCGTCGCGTTTTTGACCCGGCGGCGTTCGGTCGCGCGTTACTTCCCCGGCGTTACGCGCCGTTAAATGCGGACTTTCTCACATAAAACTCGCGATCGCGACTATGGCGCAATTACGATACACCCGTAATCTGTTCCTGCGTGGGATCTGCATCATATACCTGTTCGCGTTCCTCAGCTTCTACGTGCAGATTCCAGGTAAGCGGACTCCATACGCAACGCCTCGGCACAACACCGAGGCTTGAAGCACCAACGCCGACCGTACGTTCGCGAGTTCTTTTCGTTTCTTCTTTTCGTTGACGCGAAACTCCCCTCGTTATTCGCGCGTCAAACGTTCGGGGAACTGCTTGATACTTGATACTCGTGCCACGTTAACGAGCGATAAATGTTGATTAGCGATCGCAATACGGTACTCCATCAGCTCTCCTTCGCTCGTATTCGATTGCGATTCTTCTTGCGTAACGGAATTTTATATGCCTACGCGAATCGATTGTAATTTTAGAACATGATTTTGGAGCATAAAAGAAATACAGAGTTCATTTTAGGATATATAATCCCACTTCTTGGCGTTTTAAGCTGAAGTTAATAAATTATTATTATTATTATTATGTAAATTCCCACTTTTTTGGGAGATTTGAGATACAATATATTGCGATGTTATTGATTAATAAAATATATGAAACAGGATTGTACGGCGACAATGGGATCCTACCAGCCAGGACGCAGATGGATCTCAAGGCACGTGCGACGTTGTTCAATAAGCTGAAGCAAAAGCCAACATTCTTGTGGCTGGCACCGTATCTAGGTCTGAACGTTGAATATATGCTGGACGTGCTGGCTATCCTCGGAACTGTTCTCTCCTTCGCAGGGTACGTTTGCAAATGACAAGATTAAAGGATATTTTTATATATGGGAATACTTGTAAAATGCAATCTGTTTAGAAGTGATATTCGAGGCCTGTTTGTTTTAGCTGAACTTCTTGCACAGTGCATCTTTCCTCTTCTTTTCACATTGAAGAGAAAAAGAGAAAAGATGAACTGTGCAAGAAGTTCAGCTAAAACGTACACGCCTTTACTGTTCATAAATTCTATTATATTTCATGAATATAAGTAATTCTCATGAAATCGTAGTGGAGTTGCTAATGCCTGAAATTATATTTGATTTCAGATTTGTCACGCAGAAATTCTGCATTGGGCCAGTATTTGCAGGGCTATGGACCCTATATTACTCTTTATACCAAATTGGTCAAACATTTATGTTCTTCCAATGGTGAGTTATACAATTTTGTAATCTATATTTAGATTTCTCAATCCTACTGCAATCCTTAACATTTGTTCGCGAATACGGTCCTTTGTACTACAATTAAAAAGTAATTCAAATATATATCACTCAGTGTTTATACTCTTGTGAATATATTAGCTGCCTGACTATTTAGGTTGCAGTCCACTTGACCCAACAAATGCTTCGGAGTATTCCTCGATTGGTCAATCAGTAAAATTCTTTGTTCTGATTGGTCAATCAAACGCTTCGAACTATTTGTAGCGTCAAGTGGACCATAGCCATAATAATTTAATTCTTGTAGGGACGTTCTATTACTGGAGGTTGGATTTCTATGTATACTTATCGCACCGTTTTGGTATCCTTACCGCGGAACGCCGACCGACGGCGTGTCTCTCTGGGCCGTGCGTTGGCTGCTTTTCCGCCTCATGTTTGCTAGCGGAGTAGTGAAGCTCACTTCAGGCTGTCCGCTTTGGTGGAGCTTAGATGGTAAAATCGTTTTCACGGAATCTAACATGTATAATGTTTATATACGTTGGTTACGATATATTTGTTATTTGTTTTTGTTTTGCAGCTTTAAATGTCCATTTTGAATCGCAATGTATACCAACTCCTCTAGCATGGTACGCGCATCATCTGCCAACGTGGTTCCTTCGATTATCCAACGTTTTTACAAACGTCATCGAGCTTGCTGTACCAATTTTATTTTTCTTCACGCACAGAAAAGTGAGAATAGTAGCATTTTACTTACAGGTATGTCATAATTGCCTACAATAGGCTGTAACAGAACACCTACAGACTTATGTCGATTGGTCAATTGGTTGGCTTTTTTTTTTAACAATACTTTAACGTTACTGTTCTAGGTGCTTCTACAAGTTTGCATTATCGCTACTGGAAACTACAATTTCTTTAATTTCCTTACCATTTGTCTATGCATATCCTTGCTGGACGATCAGTTCTTTTACAAACAAAAATCTAAAGACAATGAATCCTCTATTATGAATTATTTCTCTACATTTGTAACTATATTTATATACGGAGGAGTGCTGTATCAAGCATATATTTACTACGGTCTTAAAATAACAGAGAACTGGACCATTGAATCTAATATCAGTACGTATCTATCCTATTAATAACCAGTAATAATTTGTGTGGTCTTACAATTAGCGTTTGCATTGATCATAATTGCATCTTTTTTTTTATAGCATTTACACCAGAGCAATTTGATTATGTTCTACTTCACGCGATACCAATTTCTATTTACATCAGTGCAGCAATTTTCACATTAGCGTCATTCGAATCGATAGTCACTGCTATAGCTTCTCACCGAGGCACACTTGATACAACAATAACAGTGATAACCACGATTTTATACATCAAAACTGTAGCCTGGATCTTTGTTATAAGTATTGTAAGTACATCAGGCAGCTTTAAGCGTGCCCGAGTTTATAATTGCTAAAAGCTCAGCGCAATACGTAAGATGTTACATGGATATAAAGTGTGAGGTAAATGTGCTCGCAGGTACCGTATTCCACTTTGCATCAATCTACCAACTTGACAATGCTTCATGACCTAAAGCAGATACATGCAAAAGTGGATCATCTTCATATAGCAAATAGTTACGGATTATTCCGTCGTATGACGGGAGTCGATGGTAGACCTGAAGTTGTGATAGAAGGGAGCGACAGCATTGACGGGCCCTGGAAGGAATATGAGTTTTTATATAAACCAGGAAATGTTAACAACTCACTACCATTTGTCGGTGAGATATTTTCACATATTTATGTATTAAGCGTTTCTCTTTACGTTAATACATTATTTTAGCTTGTTAATAAGCTAACACGTTGTAAAAGATACAAATTCTTTAACAATGTTTCTTTCTTGCAGCACCTCACCAACCTCGTCTCGATTGGCAAATGTGGTTCGCTGCTTTAGGTACATATCATCAAAATCCATGGTTAATGTCACTAGCCTATCGTTTATTGAGCGGACAGCCCGAGGTACTGGCTTTAATGAATACCGTCGAGAATCCATTTCGAGACAAACCGCCGAAGTATGTTAGGGCTAGTCTTTATTATTATCGTTACACGTCATGGAGTCAAACGTGAGTACAATCTGTTATAAATAAAATATATACATATAACGTATGTGCTTCAAATGTATGTGATTGCGTGTGATTGGATTTATAGACTAGAATAGTATTAATTTATTCCTACTGTTCTCGTGCATACAGATCGACTCGTGCTTGGTGGACTAGAGAAAAAATAGGAGAGTATTTCCCAATATTCAGCCAAACTCATCCTCCGCTTCTCGAATATCTGACAAAAATGAAGATTCTTCAGGAGAAGTCGGGCTTCAAAGTCACAAATGAACCAGTCAAATTGATTCTGGACAACCTTAGGTCTTTAGTCAGCAAAATAGAACCGAGTCTAATTTTATGGGGCGTTTTTACAGCCGGTTGCACGGTAATCGTGACAGGTTACAGCAGTTCGGCAGTATCGAAAAAGAAATAGTTTCTGAGCGATAATCATTATAAAAACTTGATAAGTTACACAAAGCTGCAAGGTATTGGATATTAACAAAATATAAAATGTAAGCTGTAATCTATATGTATATCAGCTAAATGAGAATTATTTGCATACAGTGTAACTTAGAGACACAAGATACTTTTTGCATGTGAGATATATAAATCTGCATTTCTCCTTTCCATCTAATAGATCTCTGTTAGATAATATTAACCATCATGTCGTGTATAATAACATTGGCGCGAGACACTGCTGTGCTGTGTCTCTTAATAAAACCATTTCTTCCAATAGATGTCTGTTAGACAATATTAACCGTCATGTCGTGTATAATAACATGATGATGCATTTAAAATAAATCTACTGAGAAAACTTATAAAAAGAGAAAAAGGAAAGGCATATCATTTTACGTAAAATTACTAGAGGATTTAACGTGTGCAATGAACGAATACATTCAAAGTATATTATGTGTCCCATTTACACTGTTAGTAATCTATATTTCATGTTCACTCGTTACAAAAAGTATGTGGTATGTGATTTGTAATGTTCAGTACATATACATGTCGTATGTATGTATAAATTGGATCTCTCATTTCATGCTATTGCATCGCTTTATTAGCATTAGTTTCGCTGATTTTAAGAAACGATATTAAGTATTTATAATGAAACAAAAGAAAATACATCTGTGTTATGGTAAAAACGAAAAAAAAGGAGACACTTCGGTATATACAAAACATATTTTCTTATATAAACCTCATTGCTACATTTTTTCTAACGTCTTTTACAAATAGTACAAGTTTCTCGATATTATTTACACAGGTTGTAAATAGGTCGCGACAAACATGCATTTGTTTAAAAAAGAAAAAAAAACAAAACATTTTTCTACGTTACACGTATTTGTCTAAACTACACTTGTCAGTAGCCGTTCTTATGGCCTTCGTAAAATCTATAAATGTAATTTTATATCCTACTTACAAATTATAGATAATGTGTTCGTACGCATGCATATGTATATATATATATACATATACATATTCTAAACTTTCCAGATCACTATTGTTAATTATCACAGTTGTGTAATACATTACGAGTTATTTTCAGATTATATTTGTAATAAATAAAAGCTAGTCTTTTTTTTTCTACGCCCATTTACTTTAATATAAAAGAAACTGTAAACGAAAATGTTAAGTAAAAAAAATGTACCATGTTTGCAGACAAATAAACTTTAATGCTTCCTATATTGATTCCGTATTCACTTGAAGATCTCGAGAATAAGCGTTATTTCGTGATTTTGTATTTTTTGCGAGTCGTTCTGCAGCTACATACTTCAAAATTCTTTTGCGTTGTAACGCCTGAATTGAGTTGAGAATCGCTATCAGCCGGAACGTCTAAGCTATCATTTTTATTTAGTTGCAGACTAAGCACAGACTTTGCACTATTATGTTTTCTTTTCCTTGAAACAGTCGGAACGACAGTCGGAACGACAGTCGGCTTTGTGGTCGACTTTGTTACAAATATCGTTTCTGGCCCTTGCACTTGCAATATAGTGTTCGACAAACTAATGGGAAATTTAAATAATTGCAGTAGGCGAGTTCGCAGTAGCTGATATTCGGCGCTCTCCGTTTGCGCAGGTCGAGAATTTGTCGTTGTTGGTTCTGGGTTTTGCTCATTTCCGAACTCATATTGTTGACCAGATTCGTTCTGATAGTCGTACAGTAATTTCCAAAGGAGCAAATTCTTCCAACCTAATAAAGTCGCTTGATTCGGCAGAATTACATTACTCGTGTCCCCTTTTTCAGCGTCTTCATTAACACCGGTAGTTTCCTTCGACTTATTCGATTGTTCGTGATCTTCGAAATCCGTTTTTGAACTCGCATTCGGTTTACTACATTCCGGTGAAGCTTTACTTGAAGGGCTTTCTTTAGCAAACGAGAAGATGCACTTCAATGATTTATATAAATCCACATCTTGTTGGTCACAATCATGGTAATCACTTATTAAAAACTGACCAAATTTGTAAAATTGCATCTCTTCCTCGACACTGAGAAAAGGAAGTATAGAGTTAGTTACAGCGAAATGTGTAGGGATATCAATAAGAAATTTTTCGTTGAAACCTAAATCGTAGTCTATAGATGTGTTTTTATTTTTTCTCTTTTTGGTCTTTAGTGTTCTTACGTATCCTTCAAATGGAAGTGGCGGTATAAAGAAATCATTTTCACTATCTTCTGAGGCGTGACCGAACATTTGCGTTCTAAATTTTTCTATTAGTTCATCATTCTGCAGTCTGTTATTTACCACGTTCATGTGTTTTTTTAAAGAAACTAAATATTGTTTTTCTCTGTTATTCAATTGTACATAACTCAGAAAATTAAGATCCGGCATATCAAGATTGGCGTTTAACAATGTCAATGTGTTGTATAATTTTTTCGTGTCGCGCGCAAGCTGTTCGGTATCGTCAAGTTCTTCAGAATTATTACATTTAATTGAAAGTGGCAGACAAAAAGTTTCATACAGTCTTAATTGAATATCATAAATCTGTACAGTGTGTTGTTGCCTGTCCTGTAAGTATTTCCTGTATGCGAGTTTATTGTGCATCTTTAACGTACTACTGGACATCTTATTTTTATTATTTATTGATATTTTCCTGCCGGGGAACATAATATACGGTCTAGGTATACTTTCGAGACTGACACCTTTCTGTACGTATTTCAGTAACGCGGTATATCGATGTCGCACTTGTGTTCTTGACTTGTCGGAAAAATACGTGGCTATCTTGGACCAATTGTTATTGTATTTTATGTACAGATTAATTAACGCCACGTCATCGTTGACCGTCCATAGATTTGAACATTTTTCCAACACCGTGCGGTAACGTTGTTGGAGTTGTATCGAGGTTCGATGCGGCATTACGGCGCTTGAAATTTTAGGGAAGTCCGTGCCGTATCTCTGCACCGCTTTCATGAGAGTCGACGTTTCCACGACGGTGAATCTACCTTTTCTCAAATGCGGCGATTTCCTGTACATCCACCGTACGTAAATTTGTTGCTTGGTTCTGTGCCGCATGTGATTGGCGAGCTCGAACCAGGGAATGTAGTCACCGACGCGGACCGCTTCTATAACTTTTGCGATATGTCTATCCTCCTGCTTGGTCCAAGGACGCCCGGACGACGGCACTTTCTTAATAGTGTTATATCTAATGAAACATTGATACGCGCTACGATTTGTCCCTAGCTTCCGCGTAATAGCGTCCCAATCTTGACACTTAAATTCTCTCGTATACTTCAGTAGTTCACCATCCTCCGCGCTCGTCCATTCGTCCTTCCTGAACTCGGGATGCAGGTAGACATTCCACATAGCTCGGCATTCAACCGGTGTATGCCTATTGTCGAAATCCATGACAGAGATCTTATACCAGTCGAACTCTCTCTCGCCGACCGCTCCCACCATCTCGTTAAAATTTCTGGGGATCACCAATCTAGTTTTATCGTCGATCTCTTCGTTGAATTCTCCGCACAGTACCGATTCGATAGCTTGATTGTTTATGGCGTTTAAAAGCGTTTCTCTGTCCTTTCCTGACCAACGGCACGTCCTGCTCAAAGACGGCAGGAACAACTCGCCACGGGCCTCCTTCAACTTGGTGTCGTAGTTCTTGGGAGCGCTGAAGTAATTCTTGTCCTTGAAATATGGCATACCGGCGTTGATGATCGTCAATTTGTTACCGTAGCTCGACTCATCCTTGGCCTTCGTTATTTTCTCGTCCAACAGCTTTATTTTCTGCTCGCACTCCGCCAACAATGCAGTCAATTTCCTCTTGGTTATTGTCAAGCCCGTGATCAACTTCGTATTAATCTCGTAAGCGTTCAGAGATTTGTCGATATACCGATTCGTGCAGAGATAGTTGACGTAGTCATCGTTGTTAGAGTCCTCGGCGTCCGATGACGCGTCAGATTGCTGGTTGCTAACACATTGTTGCAGTTTCTCTCTCGCGGACAAGGCTAAAGCTTCATCCAGAGCCTTGATATCGGCCAGAATATCCAAGTCGTCACCTTCGCTCATGATGAATGAAGATGTATGCTTCTTATCTGCCTTTTGATTGCTGTGGCAAATAAATCAAACGATATACAATGTACCAGATTAGAGATTTGGCAGACAAAATATAGAGACTTACATATACAGATTCCTACAATCACAAATGCCCAAAGGAATAAGGTCCGAGTCCTCGAAAAGTTCTATCATGCAACGTTGAACTATGAAACAGCAACACCGAATGCATCATAAGAAAAATCGACGAACGAAAGCAAACGTTTCTCTTTTGTGCCTCTCCCACACTGTGGAAAACAAAAATAGACATTGAAAATTGACAATCTAATATGCCGTTTAATAAAATTGAAAGAGTTAAAGGACGAACTTACCTAGCTCTCAATTGAGCGAGAAGACAAAGTACCGCTGCTATCCTCAGAGAGTCTCCTTGCGCGTCGCGCAACAATTATAACAATATAACGATATTGTCAAACGAAACGAGATCCCAGAGTCATCGCCCCACTTCATTAGCGCTTGCTCGCTCGTAGCTACGAGTCACCGTGACAGAACAGAAGCACGAATGTCTCTCTTCCTTCCGCTCTAACGAACACGTTGAACACCCATCTCTCCTCATCCCACTATTTTTCCTCCAGACGAAGCAGGCACAGCGAAGCGTCGCTCGCAGGTCGCAGGTCACACGTTACAGCCGTTGCAGGGCAACAAATCACGCGCACGCCAAGCGGCGCAGGTGTAGCAGACGCCGTGGTTGGTCGCTCAGTCGCGTATACACGTCTCGTCGCAGCGAGACCGTGTCGACACCCGGTCGACCGTGATTGTCGTCGAGGTGGTGCGGGTTTATCGACAAAACAAAGAAACATCGGGAGATGGACGGGACGCCGTTCGAGAGACGCTCGTCGCGTTAATTCGTCGGCGTCTCGCGGGTGACTCGCTTCAAACGGCTCGATCTTCCGGTTCCTACGGAAAAATTGACATGTGAACATCGCGAACGGAAATTTAACGGTCTCGACGCGCGCTATCGCCGGCGTGGAGAAGTGATCCAGAGCGGGAACACTGAAAGTTCATACTTGGCAGTCTCGGGGACTCGGGGGAGCTTCCGAATTAAAGGTGAACGTTCTGCTGCGTCGCAGATACAAAACACGAGCGTGCGAAGCTCGGTCACGTGGGCCCGCGGTGACGTAACGCCGTCCAGAAGGTGAAGGAAACGCGGCGTTTTCGAGTCGAGGACTCGTCTCGGAAGTTTTTCAACGCCCGTTCCCTCGTTTTCCTTCTCTATCCGACGATCTCAACGCCGATGAGAGGGAAGGATCCTCGTACGACGCGATCCGAGCTTTTCGCGCGCGGCCCGATCTCGCGGACGACGGCGCCACGGTAGCCGGTTGGCGCGCGACGCCGAGCGGCGAGGAACCGGAGCAACGGACCACGGCGTTTTGACATTCGGCCGGAAGTAGCGCACATATGTTTCCGACGTCGCCGCTGCGGAGGCGCGGCTGCGCAGTCGGCCCGCGGCCCGAATATGTCGACCGAGGAGCGACGGCGGAGTTGATGTATGACACGCAGACGACCACCGTTATCATGACCACCGTCGCGGCGATATCCTTCGGCTGAGGTGCGCCCCGGTGCGAGCCGACCTGCCGACGATCGCGAGGAAGGAGACCGCGTTGCCCGGCGACGTGCGCCGTTCGCGAGAAATCGAGAACGGGCCTTCGCTCTTTCCCTCTTTCGCGCTCTCTTTCTCTCTCGCTCTCTCTCTCGAGGGGGACAGTGGTGGCCGAGGAGGAGGAGGAGGAGGAGGAGAGGTCCAGCCGCGCGAGAGAGCGCCGCGCCAGATCGCCGTGCCGTCGTACCGTATCGTACCGTACCGTGCCGTGCCGTTCCGGGGGCGGTGATCGGCGGGCTCGGCGGAGCGGAGCGCAGCGCGGCGCGAGGGGTCCCCTATGTCAAATCGACGTCGGCGACGAGGACGTAGCGCGCCAGCATGAAGAAGCTATTCTCCAAGATCGACAACACGTCGAAGGAGCCCAACAGCTACCTGGGGAAGGTGTTCGTCGTGGGCCGCCACACGGTCACCGTCGAGGAGGTCCTGGCGGAAGGTACGCGGTCTCGGAGGGGGGGGGGGTCGTTTCTCGATCCCAAGTACCATACTTTTCTCGTTCCCGCCCTCGTGCTCCTGTTTCAGTCTCCGGTGGACGTGGATCCCGCCCCCCTCCCCCTTGTTTTCCGTTCTATTTTGCACCGCAACCTAGAACGCCCTCTCCGCCCCGCCTGGTCGGTTCCGCTTTTTTCCTCTCCTCTCCGTCCTGGTCGTCCTCGTGAGCATGGATAAACACCGACAGTAGGTGGTTGGTGAACATCGTTAAGCTAGGTAGCTCCCAGGAGTCCTTTGCCACCCTGGAATGAACGGTCGATCATCTTCCAGACAGTCAATGCTGCTGAAGAGATCTCCTGAGATACTTTGATAGGCATCATTGAGCTCGTTAGTTCTCAGGAGTCGTTGATACGTTGATGGTGAAGTGCGCATTTCCCAAGGAACATCAGCTTTGTTGCTCCGTTATTTTTTTTGCTAGCTAATGCTGCGGCCTCAGGATTTGTTCAAGAAATGTTTTTGTGAAACAGTGCACTGGAATATCGGACGATAAAGTTTTATTGTTACGTGTCGATATATCCGGAGCTGGCAAATAGAAATTGATTGTCCAATCAGTAAATTTACTTTGAGATAAAGCTCAAATACTGGAAACATGGATATCATATCTTTTATTGCCACGCTTGTAATTGTATCTGTGTTCAAGTTACAACGCGGCAAAGTGTTCCACAGTAATCCTACAGCTTTCATTTTTTTTTTCGTTCTAGTCATTTATTAATTTGCTTTCTTTAATCTAATTTTTAATATACATATATCGATTACATAATTAAGTGATGAACATTAGCATATTTCTTTTTTTTCTCTGTCCCTTTCTGCTGTGCACTCGCCTCATATAGCGCAATTGTTATTTTACAGGAGGATTTGCGATTGTATTTTTGGTCAAATCCTCAGGTGGACGATATGCACTTAAACGGATGTATGTCAACAATGAACATGATCTCAATGTGTGCAAGAGGGAAATACAAATTGCTGTAAGTATCTTCGTGAACAATGAAACGCTAGTGATAATTAGTGGCGCTAAGTTAATGCCCTCCCCCTTTTTACAGAAATGTAATATCTTGGTTACATAGATTAAAGATTGAATGAATTCCTTCTATTTACAGAGCAACCTGAGCGGTCATAAAAATATCATAGGATATGTAGATAGTAGCATAACTCACACCACTGGAGGAATACACGAACTTCTGCTTTTAATGCCTTACTGTAAATCCCAAGTTCTCCAAATGATGAATAACAGGTTAGAAATAATTCTCTTTGTCACATTTGTTTATAATATTAAGACAATTTTACTTCTATACATCTGTATATACATATTTTTATACAAATATATGTATATGTCACACTTCTGTTTAATTGCAAAATATTGCCAATTGCTTATCTAACGATATGAAAATTTATGGCATACATTAGCAATTTCCTATTCCTATTTCTAGGTTGCAAACAGGTTTCAGTGAATCAGAAGTTCTACAAATTTTTTGTGACGTTTGCGAAGCCGTATCAAGATTGCATCATTGTCAAACTCCCATAATTCATAGAGATCTCAAGGTGAACTACTTTAATGGGCATTACATAACGCCGTCAGAAATATCTTGATCTACATTTAATTGTCTCGCGATAGGTGGAAAATATACTGCTTGCTGACAGCGGTCATTACGTTCTGTGTGATTTTGGGTCCGCGACGGGAAAAGTTCTCAATCCCAATGTCCACGGCGCCGCGGTGGTTGAGGAGGAGATAAAGAAATATACCACTTTAAGCTACAGAGCACCTGAAATGGTTGACATGTACTGCGGAAAACCTATTACTACGAAAGCGGATATATGGGTAACGTATATCACTTACGTGTTTTTATATATGTCGCACACACATACGATCGCAATATATAAATAAAATTGAAAAATTTTATCAGCATTGCGAGTCTTTTTACACAGAATCCTGTCTTTCAGGCTTTAGGATGTCTGTTATATAAACTCTGCTTTTTTACACTACCGTTTGGCGAGAGCACGCTTGCTATACAATCTGGGAATTTCACTATACCGGATAATTCGAGGTATGTGAAAAGTCACGTAGCCGATACAAATTGCCCGAATCTTTAGCTATTTAACGAACGAATAAAATGATAGAAGAACAATATGATTTAGCCTTATATATGTGTGTTAAGTAGTTAAGTAGATTAGATGTGTACATAAAATATTTTTATGTTATAGATATAGTAAAGCTCTCCATTGTTTAATTCGGTACATGCTTGAGCCAGATCCTGACATACGCCCTGATATTTATCAAGTTTCCGCAGTTGCTTTTCAAATTCAAGGCAAAGAATGTCCTGTGCAAAATTTACATGTACGTAGATTATAATATTTTTACATATATACTAGCAAATTTATACGAAATGCGTCTCTCACATGCCGTTCCGTAACGACTGTTCTCTCGATCTTATCTTTACAGAAAGTCCCAACCCCGACGATAGAATCATTGCCATGTCCACCCATGGAATCCGAGAATATTAAAAGAGCAGCATCTGTAAAAACGCCGAAACCCACGCCTATAGCGACGACGGTCGAGGGTACGTCCGTGACGCCGAGACAAAGACCGAAGGGGCAAGCCGTTAGCACGGGACCGATCAGTTTGAGTGGTCAAATCGTGGGACAAATATCGGGCCAAGGAAATCAAACGCAAACTACACCGGCAAATTCTATCTCTTACGTTCAAGTAAGGTCAACAGATCGCGAGCATACTCCGCTTGAAATATACGAAAACATTTAGATATTTTTGGCACAAATGCTTGATTAACGTAGTCATTTCATTCTGTCAGGTATCGCCACTTGTTTGCACCCCCAGTCAAAGTGTTCCTTTCGGTCAATCGCAAGCACAACCGTCGCAGTACGGTCAATCGCAGAGCCCGATGATCAGTCACTCTCCTCTAACTCAGCAGTCACCCGTTACCGTTCAAGATAAAAATGCGTTTTACTTCGATTCGAGGCAGCACGAGGCAGCGAGAGCTACAACGAACGTAAACGAGAAGAATTTGGAGGCTCTATTCCCGTCGTCAGGTAATCCTAAATAATGGCACGCTTAAGTTCCACGGAGTAAAAGCAAGAATGATCGAGAGTGATCTTTTTATCACATTGCTGCTTTTCCAGGGTATCCGGATCCGTTCAAAGACGACACGAGAGCGATGCCGCCGCCTGCCAAGATACCACCTCCCGTTGCACCCAAACCCGGCAAGATTCTTCCGAAACTGTCCAACCCTAGTTATCCATCGTCATCCAAATATCCGCCAGTCACCTCATTACCGTCGAAATTGTCCATTTCGACGGGGCCTAACAAGGCGACTCCACCGACGGTGACGCCGCCGGCTTTGCCGAAGCCGGTTAATAAGACAGAAAGTTTGAGTCAGAATATAAGTTCGAGCATATCTCCGCCTGACAGTCCGACATTGTCGTCCTCGCGTCACAGGAGAAACGTCAGTGACACGAGCGCTTTTAACAAGTAAGCCCTATTTAAATCGATTTCTTCTCTTTACATTGTATTCGCAGGTTTTTTTTACGAAAATTCGATACGAAAAGTCGATACTTATGAGACTTGAATGTTCGACAAATTTCTTTTAAATTAGCGCCGACGTGTACGAAAGTTTTAAGAGATCAGAATCTTCTTTTGCGTCAAGACACAGTTATTTATATTACAGTGGCTATATTTCGATGTTCACAGAGCATTCGCAACTGAAACCACTCAATTCTTGGCGCCATATGAGGCTTCGGTCAAGCCACGTTCCGATGATACGACTACACCACCGGAACTTTCAAGTGATACAAGGCCTTGTATAGCAACTAGTGCCTCGCATGTACGTGTTGTAAGTACATAAAGCGCACAATTTTATGTTTATTTTTGTTGAACGGTATTGGTTACCTACAAAATACGAATCATGTTTATATTATTGAGACAGACTTCTGTTTTGACTTCTCTATTTTCTATAGTTTAAAATTGTGTCTAGTATTATACGCGAAAAGATAACGAAGTTTTTTTTATAGAAAAATTATTCGTGATACAGGTAAAATGAAAATTTCTTTGGATAAAATAAAGTAAATTACAAGAGATGTGAAATTTGATTTTATTCTTATATTTAGAATCTCGTTTATATATATATTTATATATTATTATGTTTTATGCACTGCACTCTATCATTAGTAATACTCCCTCATCTTCAAGTAACTACTAAAATATTGATCGCTTGGGAACAGTTAATACTTAAAAACTTGCCTACATTCTTATCAGGGCGAACTTTCAAGCCTAATGGGATCAGAAGGGAGATCGTTGAGTGCGGATGTGGCGGCATGGAATCCGTTTGAGGATGTACAACCTTTTAATCAGTTAACGGAAGATCATATCTTCGGTGCTGAATTTGACAAAATAAGAAGAGGGAGCAATACCAGTATCAGTGGGGTGAAAAGTCGCGAAAGCCTTGTTATGACGTATACAGAGTTACCGGAAGATCCCTTTGAATCTGCACCCTTTAGCCTGCCAAGTAAGCTCTCGTTAAAGTTCTACGTCTGAGAAATTAATACAAACGTATATATTTCATCACAAGACTGAAGTATCTATTAACGTTTTAATTCTTTCTTAGCAGGGAAGAAGAGTAAAATCGGGTCAAAGACTGCTGCTATTGCTGGAGGTAATGCATAAAATCCTTCTTACACTCTGTCCTTCTCATCATCTTTCTTCCACTTGTTCCTACATTAATCTATTAATCTATACTTGATTTAAAAGCCATTTGCTCGCTGTCTTAATACTTGGTTTCTTACTTTTGCTATCATCGCTACGTGAGGTAGCAGGTTTTAAGCTGTAGTTGTGACCATTGTCTTTCATCGGTTTCGGTCAGTCTCAGTTGTATATCAAATATATCAAGGCATTTATAAAATTTGATACTTAATTTATCAAGTGACAGGTTCTAAAAAAATGCTCATTTAAAATTCTGAAGAGATTTCTTTATATATATATTGTATATATAAATTGTTGAATATGTATAGCTTTATTTTAATCTAACGTGACATTCATTTTCTATATATCGATGAATAAGTAAAGTTTTATAGATGTAATTTACAATATAGATATTGTAAATCGGTCATTTAATTTTTTGAATACTTTATTACATTTAATTCATTATCGAATTACTTTGTAAGAAACAAAGTACTAGAAGTAATCTTGTTATACAACTAAGACACCACTATCTCCAAAATTTCATACCTTAGCTTTATATACAGAATATAAATATGAAAAGATCAGAAATGCTAGATATGTTTGATAATCACGAATTTAGAACATTATAGTTCCGTTTAGTAACAGAATTAGACTTAATTAAATTTATTTTAATTACGTTACAATATTTGTTTTCTTTTCTAGCTTAATTTTGTATATTTGACAAAATCTTTAAATAGTAAAAGTTATGAGACGTTCAACGGAGATTATAAAATGGATATACCTTTGAATCACAATAACACATGTGAGGATATAGGTCAATGACAGAAATGAAGAACGATTCAGCTAAAATTAGAAAAGTGTTATTCCTACAGTTATAGAAAATAATATCTGTTATAATTGCTCTTTTTTCCAATTCTTTTTCATCTTTGAATTTAATTATTTCGATTGCTCACAATTGGAATGATCGTTGAATAAGATCATCTATAAATAGCAATGTATTTATACAAAATGTTTGTGGACAATAGATGTAGATAAATGCTGAAATGACGATTTATCAGCATGTTACGCTTTTCTGCACTTCCATGTACATAATTCTTAATTTTCATTAATAGAATTTTGAAGTAACGCAATGCAAGAAGTAACGTTTCAAAGTAATATATAAAATAAATGTTTCCTCTCTCAATTTTTAATTAGTATTACATGTGAAACTTGATTTGTGATATAATACATAATCAGTTATTGTGTGATAATATTGTTGATCATATTGTTGCACTGCTTCATTAATTAAAAAGAACTAATGACTTTTTTTAAGAATGTTTATTTAGATAAATAAAAGAATCGTGGGTTTCTACTACCGTCTGATCTACCAAAGACGTGTGATAAGTTACTAAGCTTAAAGTTGCTATTCGTATAATTGGAAATGAAAAAAATGCCTTAGTTAACTAATGAACTTCAAAAACTCATTATATGCGCTCTCGTTATTTTGAACAAATCTTATCTTTTAAATATAATAGGATAGATCATTGATAAAAGTGTAATCTATGCACAAATTATTCTTTCGAAAGGAAATGGATCTAACTTTATTTTTATGTATATCTACTCATAATATCATTCACGAAAGATTGTCGTGTAATTATTTAAAAATTTTTACGCATATGCAATACATACATAATTGTTTATCTGAATCATTTTTTTTTTGCTTAAATAGCATTCATAAATCACAAAATATTTTCTTTTACGTTGACACTTGTTAAAACGCTTCGTTACTGTTTTGATAAAACGATATGAACGACATGAAAAGAGATTGTGATGCAAATCTGCTCAGTTATGCTCAATTAAATGAGAAAGGGATGGTAGATTATTACCAGTGAATTACATATTAACTTCTACTTACCTCAAATAGTAAGTTACAGCGTAAGGATAATACATCGAACATTAGACACGAAAAATATGCTATATATTGATTATGTTATAAAAAGTGTAATTATTAAATATTGTTGAAAATATGATGAACATATAGGATAAAACAAATTTTGTCTTTACAATAGATGTTCCTATGATATGTAGTGCACAAAACGGAATTAGCTTTTATTTTTAGTGTTTCCGTACGGAACAGTGAATGTATCGATAAAAAGGAGGAACAAATTACATATTACATATGCATATAGATATAAATATAAATAAATAAACACACACACATACATACATATATATAAATAATGCAATATATATATATATATGAAAAATTATGTTATATATTATGTGATATACAAAATTTAGGTACACTATTTTGTCCTACTCATATACATATACGTGCAAACGTATTATGTGTCATAATGATTGTATTATATAGCATATATAAAAGAGGAAGAACGTGGGAAGAATAGGTTTCAAGTATTTCCAAGAGAATTATACGCAACGCGATTAATACGAAACGTGGCGTATTAACGCAAAGATAATGTGGGACTCGGAAAGATCGTTTATTTTAGAATATATTGTCGAGTATGAAGATTTATTTTTGTGCGCGGAAGTATCGGCGCGAACCTTTCCTTCCCACAGAAAAAATGACGATTCTCTGCGCAATGCGTAAATATATACATACAGACGTACATTAAGGGTAATTATATTTAAAAAAAAAATCACAAGATTGTATCTGCTTCGCGCGATGGTAATACTACAGTGGCTGGCAAATAATACTTAGCGATTATTTTCATTTCTCGCTCTTCTTCCTCGTCCTCATTTCTCTCATCACGACTCTTTTTCTCCTTTTCTTCTCTGTTCGTTTCTTTTCATCGGATCTCAATTACACTGCTTTCACACGGTATTCGTTAATTTGGGTTTCTTTTTGGTACAACTAATATTTCTTCAACTGTATCTGTTCGGCCTGTATACAAAATTTCAGGATAAGATGATGTAATTTAGCATTGTATAATATCTGTAACTTGGAAGAGAAATAATTGAAAAAAGCAGGACCGCCGAATTACATCACTTTATCTTCTTCAAAAGTGTAAAAATTACAATCTGTGTTGTGTACTCTTCGTACTTTGCATACTCGTCCTATGTATCTGTCCAAAATGCGTTAATGTCTATATCAAATAACATATCTTATATATTGTAACAAGTGCTATAGGTATTAATATTGTACGTACTTGTTATAATTGTTATACCTCCTAATAGAGTTTCTACATAGCAGAGTAATAAATTCAGATATATAACGACATATATATATTTTTAAAAAAATTATATCGGGGAGAATTAATTTTATGCAAAAAGTCCAACGAACTTAGGAGTATCTTTTTCTCACTGGCGCTAGTAGTATTACCAGAATCGCCGTAATGTTAATTCTTCCTTGAGCGTGTGTGTCACAAATCCTATCAAGGTACGGCAAGGCGGAGACAATTGACGACAATTGATAAACGCGCTTGTTTCTCTGTGAGAGAAAGGCTTACGAGAAATTGTACTCTTGTCTGTCCAATGTCTGGAACAACCTAATGAGTTTGGGAGGCACAAGCCCTTCTTCCGTTTCGAATCGTTTGTTTACGAAAAACCTTTCTTTATCAATTTTGTCCTGCTTTGTTTGCCTCCCATAGTGTCTCTGACAATGTACTATCTCGGAGAACCCTAATTACGGTGAATTAAGTTTGATATGTCATACAAAAAGAAAAAGAACTTGTTATCACATCAGTCATCATCGAATACAAGCACGCTTCTCCTTCGTCTATAGCGAGACTCGTGTGAAAAAGAGAGAGAAATCCGTTTTGCGAATTGAGAGCACTATAGGGGGCCGACAAACATCTCTGGACAATACCTTTCTCGCTGTATTAAGACAAATAATGTTGCAGCAATAAAATGTAAATTAGCATACGGAGTATTTGTTTTTTTCTGAACGCTACTGGCAGAAAACGCAGCAATACTTTGCCCCTTTGTGCGAGACACGGGAACGATCTGAATGCAATTCGCCAAGGGATACGGGTGCATTCTCGTGGTGGCTTTAAAGGCGAACCTGTCACTCAGAGCATTACTGCGTTTTTCAAAACACTCATCCTCAATCCTCTGAACCTGATTAGGACTGTTCCAGACCTATTGGTGGCGGTACTAACAATAGCTTGTCCTAAAATATGTATATTGTGCTACTTTCTCCACGTCGAGGAATACAACATTGCCTTTTTCTGGAAGCTCATTAAACTGCAAATGTCAATGCACATCATACTCAGCAAAGTGCACTGTCTGCAACAGACCTAATCAGACATTTCCCGTTTCTTCTGATTCTTTTTTCTTCTGTAGATAACGATATCATGCTTTATAAAAGTCAGTCATATCAGTTATATCAGGAGGTTTCTTAATCTAAAAGTATTGAAAGCAAAATTTGTAATACGACTACAGTTCACGGAAATTATTTCGTATAATATTACAGAATTACTAACAGAACTAGAGAGTTGAGTAAATTAAGGAAATGACCTTAGGGAGAATATTAATATAATTTCTTATTGAGAGTCAAATGCATATGTAATTTTAGCTTTTTATCGTATTAATATACGGACCATTAAAACGCGTGTATTAAAAGCTTCTAAATATGTACAGAGTATCCCAGACTATGCTGAAAATTTCCCGGCGAATTTGCAGTTTGCGCCTCTTCATTATAAGATTTGGGATACTCTGCATAGTATAAGAAAAAGTTTCTCCAATTGTGAAACGGTCGATATTTCCTATCATAGACCGAGTCGTATCTTTTTGATGATGTTTTGCAAAGTAAAAGAATATAGGTAAGTAACGCTTTACAGTGATAACGGAGGTTCAGTGATAACTTTCAGTGCTAGTCTAGTTTTAAAGTTAACAGAAAATACTTATGATTAAAGAAACGTCTTCCAGATGATCGTACTAACGTAACGCGACCCTCTGTTTTGCAGGCAAACCGACGAACGGTAGGCCGAGGGTGCCGCTGGCGCAGTGGAACTCCGGGGTCGAGCAAGGCGGTGGCGTGGACGACGAGGCGTCCCTGATCACGGAATCCAGCCCGGTCTCGCCGCCGTTCGTTCGCGCGCCGGCGGAGGATCGGTCCAAGTATGAGAAGCTGGCGTTCAACGCCGACGAGGTGTCGAGCGACAGCGACAAAGGCGCGAAGGAGGCGAAGGAACGGGCGAAGAAGACGAAGAGGCGGCGCGTGAAGAACGTGCTGAACCGCAGGAGGCGAGTGGCCGCCCAGCAACACGACAGCAACGCGGACAACGCGACGAACGTGGAGTACGAGTCGGACGACTCGATCGGCTCGGCCAGCGACCTGCGGGCAATGAATGACGAGGAGGGCAACGACGGCGAGGTGAACGACGACGAGGACGGGGGCCGCGTGCGCGGCAAGCACGACGAGACCATCTCCGAGAGCGTGCGTACGTGCGGTAGTTCTGCGTATCACGCGGAATGCGAATCCGTGGCGACGCACGAGGACGACTACAGGATGAAGAGGCCGAGGAGGCATCACTATCGGCAGCAGGAGCAACAGCTGCCGACGATCGACGCGGACCCGATCGTCGGCCATCAGTACGGCGAGAAGCCGCTGCTGCTGGACGACGAGCTGGACCCCGAGTCCAAGCCGGAGCAGTCGCACGGCGATCCCTTCGTGCGGCATCAGTACGGCTCGAAGCCGCTGCTGTTCAACAACGGCGACAGCTCGTCCGACAACGACAACGACAAGTCCAAGTCCAAGTCCAAGTCGCTCAACAACGGCATCTGGAAGGTGGAGGACGACGTGTTCGCCCTAGCGCCCTTCCCGAGGTCCAGCAGCTCGCGGAAGAGCAGCGACAGTCGCGAGAGCGAACCGAGGAACGTCGATCCGGCCGGCAGCGCGAAGAACTCGCCTCACAACTCGAACCTGGTGACGCCGATCTCGAGCTCGCCGATACCGACGGAGGTGTTCGTGGACGTGACGGAGAGCAAGCCCACACCCGCGCCAGTCAAGCCCGCCCCGTTGCCCTGCAAATATCCCAAGAGCGTTGTAATCGCGAACAGCAAGACCATATTCGAGGAACCGGCGTCGTTCCATCAACCGGTCCAAGCGTCGTCGCCGATCAAGAGCAGCCCTCACGTCAGCATTGCCGAGGAGGAAGAGAACACCGAGAGGGACCTTTTCGGCTCTTCCCCGTTTAGCCCCAGCGGGTTCACCAATCCCTTCAACAGCGCCCAGGCTAATTTCACGAGCGTCGATCCCACGTCGACTCAGCCCGTGTCGCTCCTGAGCCCGGTGGGCCCTTCCTCGTACATCGATTACGCTAACTGCGCCCCGCTGCAGTCCCACAACGCGGTACCAGACAATTATTACGCTAGTCACTCGAGCACGATCGCGTGCACGTCCAAGTACGGCATGGTGACGGTGAACTCCGAGCCAACGGTCAGCGCGGAACCGTCCAAGGACCTCTTCGGGTCGATCCCGTTCGATGAGTTCGCCTCGCTGAAGCTCAACGAGCAGCAGCAACAACAACAGCAGCAACGTCCAACGTCCCTGTCGCTGTCGCAGTCGCAGTCGCTGTCGCTGTCGCAATCGCAGTCGCCGAGCTACGTGGACAACGTCGCGTTAACGACGGTGTTGCCGGTCAGCGGCGTCGTGCAGTCCCCGAAGAACAGCGTCGTTCACTTGACACCCACCCCGCCGTCGCAGCCGCAACCACCAGCCGTCTACGCGATTCAAACGACCACGCATACCGCCAGGATCACCGTGCACGCGGTCAACAGCGTCTCCAAGGTGGACATCACGTCCGACATGATATCGCCCATGTCGCCCGAGCCGCTGGTCGTCGCGGACGACGACACGCCGAAGCACAACAAGAAAGATAAATCCAAGGCGGACAAGTCCAAGTATCACCTGATCAACGAGAACCACGGTGACGCCGTCGACGTGTTGCCGACGTACAAGGCGTCCCACAAGACCAAGTCGGTGAGCCACAAGAAAACGCCCAAGGGTAAGAAGAGCACGGCCGCGACCGCCGGTTTCAGCAACATGAGCTTCGAGGACTTCCCCAGCGATGAGAACGAGGAGAAGCAGGCGGGACGGGCGAAGGTAGCGCCCTTCGAGGTGATCCGCGAGGCGTCGGAGAAGCGATTCGGATCGTTGAAGAGGCGGAGCAATCCGTTCACCTGAAATGAGATGGTTCCCGTTAGCAGCTAGTCGACAACAAAGCCGTTTGTTAGCGACGCAGGAACAAATAGAGCATCGATATGATATAGTTGATTGATTCGTTGTGTATATCGTAGAGATACCGATAAACACCGGTAAACACCGCAAAATTTAATTTAATTGATTAGAGTTTTATTATGTGTATATTGTGAATGCGTGCACACACACACACACACACCGACACACACATACATACATACATACACACTATAGCGTTAGCAAGAGATTAATTAACTCTTATAAAAAAATCTCAGTAAAAATGACACACATGATAAATCTCCAATTGGAAAATCGATATACAGGTTGTACATATACACAGAAAACCTTTGCGTTTAAGAGCTTTTCAGACGCGCAAATACGTCAGAGTGAAATTCCGAGTGAATAAAAGTTATGCCTGTTTCACTTGTTTTCGGAATGCGCGTTTGTGAAAAGATATAAGACAGAGGAATGTAATTTATTTAGATCTCTTATGGAGGATTACAAAAATCAATATTCTAACGCTTTCTGCTCTACGATTAGACCAAATATCTAATGCTACAATATTTATTAGAAGCCGTTTTTTTTAACGCTTAAATTGTCCTTGAATTGATTAAACTAAATTATGTGGAACACGATCAACGTCTTTTTGGCGCTTGTGCGTTTTTTTTTTCACAAACGTCTACAATGTGATGTGATAGCAGCAAGTAGCTGCGCATGTTTATATCAGAAGGCATACAGCATGAGCAGATATATTTATACATACACATGCCTAACTGACAAACGTGTGGATGGGATCGTATAAAACGTGATTTACACTAATGTCGGAAAGTATTAATTCATATACTACCACTTTTTAATTACTTTTTTGCATTTTTAGAAGATTTACACAAACAAGACAGATAGCCATAAGAAATTGATGGGAAAAAAGACATTATATTAAAGAAAACTGTTGATTTTTGAAATGTTGAAAGGAAGAAAGAGAGAGAGAGAGAGAGAGAGAGATAGAGAGACACAGACACTTCCCAACTTACGTTTTAACATAAAACCAGGTTGTGGAACTTGGCAGCTCGATACCAAAAATGAAATAAAAGTAGGTAAAGAAAGCTCGTGCATCTATTTTTGCAGCTAAGTCTTTTCACTACGTTTGTACTTTAAAAATTTGTAGATTTCTACTAGTACAATCTACTAGTTCATACAAAGCAATTTTTCTAAGAAAGTTAATCTGTATTATATATGTGTGTACACTATATACATATATACATACACTGTACACTATATACATATATGTATCTGTCAACGCAATTCGTCGCAAAGTCTAACGTTGATGAAAGGAGGAGAAATTTTTATCGTATATTTATGGTCTCTCGGGGAAGAGATTATAACAGAGTATTCCTTGCGAAGAAATAACATAATGGATCATTTACAGAAATTAGTGTTACAAAGGCGCAGATAATAGCATTGAAGTGATTTGTAATATTTATCGTAAAGAAGCAAACACAGGCTCGCCTAAAGAATTGGCCTTATCGTGTAAGACTGACTTATTGTTTAACAGTCTCGATTAACATATACATTGTGTAAGATGGCTATGTCTCTTTTTAAGTAATCGCTTATAATCCGACAACGTCACGGTTCATCGACACATTATTCAAAAACGAACACTAATAATCGCGATTGTCATCACGATCGAGACTGTTAAATAAAATGTATGAAAAGTAGACGTGATACTAGTACTTAGTGTATCAGTACTAGTAGGAATATTAATATTAATTTTTATCTCACATTGAGAGAGCATTTGTATTTGTTAAATTATTCGATTTCAACAACTGAATTTTAATACGTTTTACATAACTTTGGAAATTATTTTAATCAAATTTTATATACTGCTAATATACTGCGCCTTTTTAATCAACAGACAGGATCTAATTCAGTGTAAAAAGATGTGACAATATTATTAAAAAAAAACAATGTTTATAATCTACGTGTTTTTATGCACACGCATATACATATATATAAAGATGTAACATAATTTGTAGATATTAGCTTATATAATTAGGTGCCTTCCTTTATCGAGTAGCGTTCAAGCTTGCAAAGTCTTTGCTGTTGTGTAGCATAAAAGCTGATAGTATTATAAGATAAACAGAGTCAATTGTATTTGTATATGTAAGGGATAGTGTATCTGAGAAATTGTTTCTTCTGTTTAGTTCCTATCACGTAACGGTGAGATGTAATCTATAGGAAGTTAAAAGCGATTTTTAATGCCGCCATCACAAAAGTCAGAGTGATCTATGCATATAGAAAATTAAACGTTAAATTTCCGGCGAACCGATATGAGAACCGCGACGAATTCGGCGAGAAGTATAATTTTGAGTGTGTTTGTTGAACATACGGGAGAACCCCGTTGTTATTCCAAGCCTTAAAATAATATACTCCATCATTCTGTGCACCGTGTATAAAATAGAACGAACTAGGGTGCTAAGAAAGCCGAGAGCATTTTTAATTTAACATCCTAAGAAGAATATTATTTGATTATATATATAAATTCTTACGAGTCTACGTGCGTAGTGTAGATACGATACATTCCTCCTTTAAATTTTCATATATTGTTATTTATTATATCGTTGGTTTGTAGGTTCTTTTCTCTACGTTTTCTCGTGTGTACATGCGCAGGAGATAAAGTAAATGTCCTAATCGTGTGTGTTGGAAAGTTTTACGGATACTTGACTAGTTAATACTTGAATTTCACTGCCTGCACTAACAGGTGTGTTACAGTATTTTCCTTTACCATCTATCATGAGTAACTAATAACGTAATTATTTTGTTTCGGAAAAGGTGTACGGTATAAAAGAGATCATGCATTCTCCCTCGTTAATGCTAAGTTTAACAGGACTTTTACTCTTAGGATGATCAAAAATATTGTTCCAATGTGTACACAATGTTATGTATAATATAGTCATGAAAATTGTGTAAAAATGTATAAAGAGAATGCGATTACATAGAATATATATGAGAGGGACGCGATTATTTTCCACGGCAGAGCGGATGAGTCTTTAATTTTTTGACATACGAGGAAAATAATTATTGAAGACACTATCTCTGTATAAAATACATAAATAAAATGTATGCTATTAACACGAGCATTAATCATATACGCCCGCGTCCTGTCACATTTCTTTAAAGAGAAATCTCTATTACGTTTCTCACAAAAATACTGTCAAGTTTGTCGCGTTCGGCTCATTTTACCGAGGATGTCACTCGGAATCAGCAACAGCAGAGTTTTTCTCCTAAATTGCGCTGCCTCTTCCTCGCCATGATGAAGTTTATCGAGCACGCGGTCAGCCAAGCGAAGAAATTGAACCAGCTCGTGCATATTGCGAGCTGAAGCGCGATCGCGGTATTCATCTCGCTGCGACTCCAGTGATTCCTATCTGGCTGAACATAATCCATGAAATCGAAAATCGCACCGCACGGAAGCCTGTTATGGATTGCCTATACAGCAAAATACAAATTACAGTAGATAAATAGTCCTAATCTTCAAAAATTGCATTTTTTTTGTTTTAAATATAGCCGTTAAAATTATTTAACATTGGAGGAAAAGTAAGATGCTCATCTTACTTGAATTTCCCGGCCTCCTGAACCCAAGAGTTGAATGAGATTTCGTCTGTATTGTTCGCAAGTTTTGTAGTAGCCGTCAGTTATCACGACCGCATGGGCGAGCGACAGGCAGCAGACGAACGCTGCGAGGAAACCGATAGGCATCCACCATTTAAAGGCAACTCTTTTTTTTGTAACCACTACGACGTGTCCGTTAAGGTTTCTTCTATTAAAACAATTTGATTAAAGAAACATATATACGCATAATTGTGAATTAAAAACGAGAAGTGATACATATGTGACTTGAAGTTTTACTCTGTTCTCTCTCCGAACCAAGTTTTTTATTTTAATTTCGAGACAACGTATTTTAACAAGATTCTACTTTAATTAAAATTTAGTCTTCAGTCTCGTATTTTAAGAGAAAAATAAATGTTTGCTTTTTTTTACTTTATCTGAATCTGAACAGGATTTCTTAATCATCACTTCGAGCGAATCAATTTTTATAAAAATTTGCATAGATGACAAATGAGAGGGATAAGCACCTGTCGTCATCGTACACTCGTCCGCGGTTAATTCGCTTAGGATCATCCAGATTTTTATGTATGCAACACCTGTATCCGTGATAGGCGCTTAGACACAGGGTGATCACGATGACCGGTACGAGACCGTACGCGGCGAAGTGGCACAGCTTCTCGTCGCCGCCGAGGAACGTGCGAAATGTATTGATGCCGTAGAGTATGCAGCCGCAATTGACATCGATGCAACCGTCTAGCGTCAATAGCCAATTCTGCCATGTGACCACCAGCGATACGACAGACGTGACGGAGAACACCATGGATGCGGTGTACAATATCGCCAGCCACGTTTCCGCTTGCTTCGAATTCATAGTTGCTCCTTAATTCGCGCCTCCAGATTGTCAATAAGAAAGAATTCTCCGTCCACTTGCTCGTCGTTGAAAAATGTTGTTGATAGTCAGAAGAAGCAACTTGGCACAGCATCCATCTTATTCATCTCCATGAAAAGAAATTCTTCCTCTATTCATATTTTAATGTGATTATAGCTTTGTATATGACGTGTGGAATGAGTTTACCTGGAAGATTGAGAAAATAAATTTTTACGAGCCTGATCTTCTCGTCCGGTTTTTTTATTTACAGATTTATGGATCTATCAGAGTTAAAAACGTCATTTTTTCTTACATCATCCTAATCCCAAATTAGAATGAATTTTTATTCCAAAACATGGAGGATAATGATGCATACTTCTACCACGGAAGAAGACAATTAATTGTGTTAGCTAGCAATTAATAATCGCATGGAGTGATAAAAAAGACACGACCATCATCGATGAAAATATTACGATCGACGAATTATATATCCAAAAAATAAATTACAGATTTTTAAATTAAAATTATTATTATTATATTATAATCATCTAATTTTTTAGATCGACTCAACGATTGCTAATTTTGATTCCTGCTTTTGTGTTCAACTTTATTTAATCGAGTTTATTTAATTGAGCTTCGAGCTCGTCAAGAACCCGGAACGTAACGATCGCGATTCGTCAGTGCGCGCAGACAGGAAACACATGACGCAAAGATTCACGTAGGAATCTTGTAAAACACGCAAAATAACTTGAGAACGGGATAAATATTTTGGGGAAGCTATCTCCATGTTCGACAGATCTATTTTCAGCGGATTAGGCCTCTCAATTTCATCTACCTCCATCGTGCGCACGCCTGGAACTTCGCGCGTCCAGTTTTCCATCATTGACGCAGCAGTGTTTTCATTGTAGATTCCGCGATATTAGCGTTGCAAATAACGTGAAAAACATTATATAACGTCTCGTGTGTTAAACTCCGCAACTCCGAAATTAATATATCGTCTTCAGATCAGTGTTGTGTCTGATAACGATATTCTTCACTTTCTTCCGATATCGCAGTAGATCAAAAAGCCCTTATCGTACAAAAATTTGATACTGATATGATAAATGTAAATCTATTGTATAGTATAATAGTACCTTCTGTATTTTGTTTTCGCAATAGTACCCAGTAGTACCTTCACTGCCAGATTAAAGATCAGCCATCAGTCCCATATACTATGCTAATTAACGCTTATCGATAATTGACTGAATTATTCAACACTGTCCACATTTTATTACAGCTGATATTACAAATCTGGAAAAAAACGTAAAATTAGTTAAACATAGCTAAAAACGAGTTAAAATTAATATCACTAGAACTGGCTTGAAGACGAGACTTGCAAACTGGGTAACATATGAATTATCTCAAGAATAAATTTGCTTTCTTCTTGTATGCTTTACTTCACAAAATATTAAAAGAAGCACGATTTTCGTAGAACGCGAGTTTTCAAAACTCAAGTTAAAAACTTAAGAGAATAAAGTAAAAAAAAAACACGTTACTTAGCGGGAACATTAATTCGTTGCCCTAGTTCCCAACGCGAGTTGTTATGATAAGCGGATGACGAGGCTTGGGAGGTGTACCCTCGTCGGGCCATTAATCACACTTGAGCACTGTAAATAAATGGCGGGACCAAATGCACGTAAACGATAGAGAACAATTCGAATATGCAATGTGCACCTGCGAGGATCGAAGATAACAGACTGACTGAAAGACCGACCGCACTTACGTTGATTAGCGCCGATCGGAGGTGATAAAACTCTCCTCATTCTCCATCTGGCTAGTTTTAGCCGGCGCTAGACTCGGAGGTGTTAATTAGGATTAATTAGCATCACCTCTTTTATGGGATGCAATCGAACACTGAACATTCCGACGACATTGCAGGACGCAGACGGTATGCAGTATGCATGCGATTTGAGAATACATATAGCGTGTTTTGTGAATTTAATGAGAGAGGAAGATAAGAAAGTAATAAAGATTATTAATTTTCTAGTAACAGTGAAATTTAATTTCTCTTTTTCCCTTGAGATTCAAAGCAAACAGACCTTAATCCTTTCGATCCGTGCTCTACAGACAGAATTATAAACACACACACACACACACACACACACACACACACACACACACACACA